TAAATTACAAATATATATATATGTTAAATTTAACTATATCTGATAACTCACAAATTACAAATGTTGATTGATTCAAGATATACATGCATTATTTTATTGTACATGTTATTAAGATATAATTTATAAAGAAAAATAAATATGTGATGAACGGATAACATGCTTAACTACACATTAATAAGTGAAATCGTTTTATTACCTTAGTTGTCGATAGGATTCCGAAACACTGTAGAGAAAAAAAATTAACACACATTTTTAGGCAATAACACATTAATATTTACAATTGCATCAAAATTGTTATTTTATTTGGAACATAAAAAATTTTGCAAATTTATTTCAGAAAAATGGCACAAATTATTTGAACATAATATAGTAAAATTATGCACATGTACGATTATTGTAACGTGTGAAATTGGTTCAATTGAGACATATATGACCATTCACTACTGTATTGTAATAAGGATAATATAAAAAAATTACATTCTTTATTAAAAAACCTATGTGGTGTGTTTACAAATAAGACCTATTTATTTGTAAACATAAATAGCCAAATTAATGTGAACCATATTAAAAATTTTCAAAGACCCAAATGTCAATTAATTTTTGTGTGGTATTTTATGTGTTTCAAAAACAAATGAAATGTATTTTCTATGAAATTTTAATTTAGGGCATTTTATTTTTCCAACCTCAATTAATATCTCAAATCCTCTCAAATTGAAAAATTTTATAGCATTTTTGTTTCGTATAGGCCAAATCTTGTTTTTATAGCCCAAACCATGTCATTAATTAATAGCCCAAATCTTTTATGAACAAATCTGCTAAAAACATCCCAAATCATTTGTTTATAGCACATCATCCTCTCTTTAATTAACAGACCAAAACTTACTAATTAAACATTTACCAACCCTTTCATTAATTAATAGTACAAATCAATTTTTAACAAATTTGTTACAATAACTTCAAATCAAATATTTATAGCCCAAATCAAAATTTTATAGCCCAAATTATGTCATTGATTCATAGCCCAAAACTTGTTAATTAAACAATTATCAACAAATTAATTAATTACTAGCCCAAATCTAATTTTACAAAATCTGTTAAAAATAGCATAAATAACTTTTTTTTAGCCCAAATCCCCTCTTTACTTAATAGCCCAGACATTGTTAATTAAAAAATTAGCAGCCCTTTGTCTATCTTCAGAGTTAGCGGTGGAAAGACACATAGTCATCACTCGGCAAAATGAATCAGACAGAGAGAGAGAAGAAATGTCTTTGTGTCCCATGAATATACATCGCTCTCTAACACCACTCCTCCATCACTAGATTGACCACTTTGATGACCAGATCTGTTACTTCCATCGAAGAAGCAGAGCCGATATGAGCCAGCAAGCTCGAGCAAATGAATAATGAAGATAAAGAGACAAAGAGATCAACAAAAAATAAAAAAAAGGAAGGTAAGTAACTCGACTATTTTGATCTATATCGAACATTATACAATGTTCAATGTTTACATGTGTTCTCCACTACATATGCCAAAGAAAACGACATTATACATATATATAGAGAGAGAGAGAGAGAGGCAAACCTAGTTGAGCAAAAAGAGAGTTGTTCAACGAGAAAGGGGGACCAGTGTGAAAGTGAAGGGAATGAAGGTAAAAACCCTACAAATTTTATTGTGGAGAGTATTTTAGAATTTACACATTTAATCACATTTCTCAATTCCACAATCCCTCACAGTAGAAGGGATTTCTCAACCACATGCAGATGAGATTCTAGCCTTCAAAACATACTGCCGATTTGTTCAAAACCAACAAAAATCCAATCCTAAACAACTTACCCAAACCAAGGATAAATGAACCCTATTCATAATTTTAATCCAATCCCCCTGTAATCCCCCCATATCCTGTCTTCCAAACATTATCTGTGTTAATTAAGTCTTTGAATTTTATTTTATGTCAATTGAGCCTCTAATCTGACTAATTGTGTTAATTGAGTCTTCTTGTCTACCTCTGTTAAATTTTCTAATGAAAAGTGACAAAATGTACCGCTCATATGATTAGGTAGTGACTCATCTATATCACATGAGTAACACACTTTGCTATTTTATGTTAAAAAATTTAACTGAGGCAGACAGAATGATTCAATTGATATTATTAAAAAGTTTAGAGACTTAGTTGATACAAAAAACAAATCAAAGGTTTAATTAATATAAGAATAATTTGAAGGTTATATGTTTTAGAGTTATAGATGCATAGAATTTCCAAATGAAATATAAACAATAACCTAATGCGTACCATTCTTTTGTAGAATTAAACAAAAGAGTAATGTTATTGAGACCTAATTTACTGTGACATTTGGATTGACTGTAGGTCTCATCAAATAATGGAACTTGGTGTTGATTCAATAATTTCTATGAAACACATCATTATGTCAATAAATTAGATCAAATTTTTAGTCAAAATAGTATTACTCTTAGCAAAAAGAGAAAATCATGTCTTTGTAATTTTTGACCTTGACCAATTGTTTTTGATAGCAATTAAAAAATTAAAGGAAAATCCAATCATCAAACAAACATATTAGATGCTATAAAAAATTCAAATGTGTTTATAACCTTAAACTTTAACTCAAGTGATAATAGGAGTGAATTGTAAATTCAAATATCATGAATTTGAATTTTAATAATTTTTTATGGTCAGGTTATAAATGATTTATTCCTTATAAATATCTTAATCCCAACAAAGATGATCTGTTTTTAATCGAATTGGATATGAGATTAGTTAAGATGTATGTAAATTAGTACAAACACCTCCGACTATTGAAAAAAAAAACAATAGATTTGTTTGCAAAATACTAAATACACTTCATTGAGGTTCGACTAAGTAGTTAAATTTTATAGAAATTTGGAGATTGGTCTCCCTTTGTGGACTTATTTAGTAACAAGTTCATCAAGGAAACTTGTTATATATATATATACACACACACACACACACACACACATATACACACATAATAACATTAAAAAAAATAGTAACATAAAAAATAAAAAATAATAATATTCAAAAATAAAAAATAGTAACATTGAATATTAATATTTGAAAAAAAATAACAACAGTAACATGATCTACAAAAAAAAAAAAGTAACATTAAATATTGATATTTTGAAAAAATAGTAACATTTAATATTAGTAATATCATATTCATCAAAAAAAAAAAAAATAGTAACATGCACAACAAAAAAATAGTAACATACATAGTAATATTCAATATTAAATTTACCATATTCTTCTTAGCAAAAAAAACTGAGAGAGAGAGAGAGATAAATGGCAGTGATATCAAATTTAAATTCGAATTTCAAATTTTAAGGAAAAAATTCTTCCATTAAGTGTGAATTAAGGATGATCGTTTATAAAACTAATTTAATATTGAAGAATGTTTTTTAAGTCACTAAAAAGGCATTTTTGAGTTTTAAAAAAATAATAGATTTAACTACTTATTAGTAAGATTAAAAATGAATTTACAGACAAATAAATTTATTTGATAAACTAAAACTCATTATAAGTCCCTTAAGGGGTCTCAACTCCAATTTTTATTAAATTTTACATGGTGTGACTAAAATTTAATTTAATTTTTTTTATTTTGGACCATGTGACTAAAATTTAACTTAATCAAGTCACTAATTTTGAGGCAAATTTAATTTTTATAATATATAAAATTCACACAATCTAAGGAACTCGATTAAGTTAAATTAAAAAAAATTGGATTTGATTTTTAATGTAATTTGATCAAATAAAAAAAATTATTGTATCATCTAACATAGCAAATTCAAAATCGAATTTGAGTTATTGTATAATATTTTTCACCAATTAAGATATTAATTATGAAAATAAAATCTATTAAATGCTCGGTCTATTTTTTAAGCTGCTCTCTTCTTCTCGCTAGTTCTACAAGCATAAGCATTACTTTATTTACTATTATTATTATTATTATTATTTTATTTATAATTTCATATAATTATTTGACGTTTTTTATTATTTATTATATTTTTGTAAATAATCTAATGAAACCAAAGGACAAATAATGTCATTGACTCGTTAAGTGTAACTGCGAAAGACACGAAGGTGTGAAAAGACATGCACTATGATTGTGGAGTAAAAAGCAAACGTATTCTTTAATTATTTTTTAATTTTTTTTTTACAATAGTGAAAGTGAGGTTGTTGATTTTATTTTTATTCTTAAAAAGTAAATTTATAGAATCAATTTTTAAAAAATGTTGTAGATTAATAAATAAATTTAAAAATTTTTGTTCATCAGTAATATTGTTTTTAAAAAAACTATATACTAAGTAAATAACTCATAAATTGATGGTGATAATAATATGATATTATTTATTGTAGTCTTTATAACATTTATCATAATATTTCAACAAAAATTATGATAATTTACCAAAATTATAATAAACTAAAAAATTATGTTAATAAGTGTTGAGATGTGATAGAAAATAACTAGTAATAATTCACGCCTAAAATAACGCTATTTATATTATAAATCATGCATTGATTTTTATAATATTTATATTTTAAATAATAATTTAATTTTTTTTAATTACGTTTATTAGTGAATATAGAGAAAATAGATGTCATTATAGATTACTAAAATTATATGATATTAGAGAGGTTGTTAATTGAGTTGTTTAATATTAAAAAATATATTGATTAAGTTGTCTCGTGTTGGGGTAATGATATTTTTAAGTGAAAAAAAATAATACGGTAAATTTTATATTATTAGATTAAAATAAATAAAAAATAAATTAATTTATGACCGTTATTAAGTTATTTTTGATTGAGATTTCAACTTAATAAATATTTGAAAAATTCGATGCAACTCATCATTGAGCAACACAGTCTCAGCCGCCACCCTGAGAAAGAGGAAGAAAACTGCAGGACCCCTCTTCACTTTTGCAATAATTCACATCCACAGTTCAAAGCAAAATCAAGCTTATCAACAATGGCTTCTTTCTCTACCATTCCTTCAAGCTCCACACCATCCATCAACAAGGTGCTATTATCACTTTCGTTATAAATCACTTGCTNTCCACAGTTCAAAGCAAAATCAAGCTTATCAACAATGGCTTCTTTCTCTACCGTTCCTTCAAGCTCCACACCATCCATCAACAAGGTGCTATTATCACTTTCGTTATAAATCACTTGCTTTCTCTCAGAAAATTTTCTGGAATACCTCAGTAATCCATCGCTGATTTTCTTCATACACACATATATATTGCGTTATTTTAGGTACAGAAGGATGTGGGTTTCTCTGCTTTTTCTTCACAACCATCATTTTTCATTCAAATTTCCGAGAAAAGAGTTTCCAGGAAAATCGTATCACTCATGGCACCACAGCAATCTGAACGGAGGCCCCCTTCCACTGGCTCAGTTGGGTTTTTACGCTTTCCCTTTTTTTAATTTTGGGATAATAATGATTTCCAAATTGTGTTTGAGAATTAATTTGGTGAATTTTAACAGAGGGTTTTGTGGTTAATTTTGGTTTATAGGTCAAGACTGCGATGACGATGACAGAGAAGATCTTTGCCAGGGCTTGTGAGAAGCCCCAGGTGAGTCCTGGTGAGAACGTTTGGGTCAATGTTGATGTTTTGATGACGCATGACGTTAGTGGACCTGGTGCAATCGGTATCTTCAAGAGAGAATTCGGCAAAAATGCAAAGGTATACAATTAGCCTGCTGCTCACTGAGGCCTTTTAAGCTCAAATTCTTCACTGAAATAAATTATTTTCACGTTATATATGGATGGGCAAAGAGGGCTAGGCCACTTTTGTACAAAGTAATACAGCAGTAGTTATTCCAGTAACACAACAACGGAGGGTCGAGAGAGGACTTTTTACATGACGCAAGTTGCTTAATCAGTTTACTTCATGCTTGGCGAGCAAAAGTGCTCTTCACTGTACAAAATGAAAGCGTAGGCTAGCATGGTAATTAAGCATCTTCCCTTTGTCCCTTTCGATTCCTAAATCTCAAATTAGTCTAAGTCATACAAAGATAACTTGGTTCATTCTAAGTCTCGAGATTAAAAATAGAACGATTGACTCATACCACCTAACATTTCATCAGGAACATTTGTGAGAGAAGGCAATATTTGTCTGCAGCAGATGATCCTTCTACAACACCTGTCTCCTTTTCTTGCTATCCTTTCTCGCCTGCTGTAAACTCTTGTGTCTTCTATTGGTGCTTCTTCACCTTTTCACTCTTACTGAAACAGCGAAAGGGGCATAGTTTTGAATCATTTACGTACTGCTTTATGTGGTATGATTTTTGATTTTTGATTTTTGAATTCAATTGATTGATGTTTACTTGTTTTCTGATGAAAACTNGTATGATTTTTGATTTTTGATTTTTGAATTCAATTGATTGATGTTTACTTGTTTTCTGATGAAAACTGAATTGGGAAGTTTAGTGTGAAACAAAGCATGCTTATGTGGAAGGACACTGAAGTATGATATCCTGACTGAAATTGATTAGAGGTAATCTGTTAAGAGAGGACAGTGGTCTTATGTTAAGTTAAACAGAAAGAACATCTAAGTGCTAGCAAAAATTTGATGGATTGGCTATATGTTGATTGAATTTTTATCGAATTTGCAAACTTAAAACTTTATTGTACTTCACTCAGTTGAAATTAAATTTTTGGATCACCACGGGTATTTGTTCAGTATTTGAACTCGGAACCTGTTATATACATTAACGTACTACAAGGCTCATAAGTTAAGGTTGAAGATTTGGCTTTGACTTTGATTTCATATCAATGCATGAGATTCGCAGGGCTAAGTGAATCTTTTTGTATATTGAATGCTTTTATTTCATATTTAAGTTCCTGCTGTTTTTTGAAAGTATCAAACATCAAATCTGTGATATTTTAACTTCCACTTATATTAGTGTGGCACTAGTCTGTTTTCATTTGCAATTATAACGCCATTAATATACTTTAAAGTCGTCCTCGTTGAAAATTTATCCGGAACATGCTTTTTGTAAAGACATTTTACTTATATTGATTGTCTTTTTGCCATTACATTGTGCTATTATGTATTTGGAATTCCATTGTTTTTATATCTGTGTCTGAATTTTGATGATACATCCTTTGTGCACATGCATCAATCGTGTGTTAGAGTCTATGGAGTTCAATGCTTGATGTCTAAATTTTCGTTTCTTTGTTTTCTTATATTGCATGGAAAAAGAGTCACACCTTTAGTGCTTCCACAGTTCAATAATTAATTCTGTGTCTCTTTTGCCATTAATTGAAAAAGGAGATTTGTGTACATCTATACATCAAGGTGGCTGCTTCATTATTTGGACACTGCAGATTTGGGATCGCGAAAAGGTTGTCATTATACCTGACCACTACATCTTCACCGCTGATGAACGAGCAAATCGTAATGTGGATACCTTAAGGGATTTCTGCACTGAGCAAAGTATTAAGTATTTCTATGACATAAAGGATCTGGGCAATTTCAGGGTATGTTTTTCCAGCCTAGCCTTTTGCAATGCGAACCATAATGTAATTTGCTAAGAGCGTTCTAATTTGGCATTTTAATGTAAAAAATGCAAGTTAATGTGTATGCAACGTCTTTACAGGTTAATCCAGACTATAAAGGTGTATGCCATATTGCTCTTGCCCAAGAAGGTCATTGCAGACCTGGAGAGGTGCCTTTTTGTCTTCTTGATGAATTATATTCTCACATGCTTATGTTTTTTCTTTCTTGCTGAACAAAGATTGAACTCTTCAAACATGTCTTCAGGTGCTGCTAGGTACAGACTCTCACACATGTACTGCAGGAGCATTTGGCCAGTTTGCTACTGGAATCGGAAATACTGATGCTGGTTTTGTCTTGGGGACTGGAAAGCTTTTGCTTAAGGTAAATTACAATGGCACCTTTTTGACATTTGAATTAATTACCGGACCACCACTAACTATTCTATATTGGCACGACGACCCCTGCCATTTTAAAGTTATAACAGTAAGACTCTCTTTGCCACCGGAAAAAGATGAAATGTTCAAAAATAATACTTTAAATAGCTATATGTCTCTTTTATTCTTGATGGGAGATATTATTATGCAAATACTAATCTTCTTCTCTATCTATCTCGCTTTATCATATACAAGCACTCTTTACAAATGCACCCTGAAACATGCATCCTGGGAAACAAACACCCCAAGTCCCCTATCTCTCTCTCTTGCTCTGGTTACATGTTACATTGTGGAAAAAACAATTGTACATTGTCACACTCGGTGAAAGCACCTAATGGTGATGCAAAAACCTGTTGGACTCAATGGAAATGCCTACCGGCAATAATAATGAGTTCCATGTTTCTAGTAGTAGTCTGGGTCAATTTGGAGGGCAAATGGATTAAAGAAATTGAATGCTTAGTGGAGTTGGATTTTATTTAACACTAGCTATATCATCAAGATGCATGGTTTCAAAATTTCCTATGGGCTTTTAGTGGGTGATCTGAAAAGGAGGCCTAGTTAATTCAGGTCATGCTCAAAACTTTCTTATGTCATTTTGCTGAAGACAATATTTGCCTGTTCGTATAGTTCTATGGAGAACCAAGATCAAAGTTTCCTGTCTTTACATCCCTGTAATGAATATACACTTAATAAATCCATTTCTTCAAGTTGTAAACATGAAAAAAAAATGTAACGAATATGGGATCACAAGCTCAAACATTATGTTCAACTTCCTTTTCAGTTTTAAAACATTTATACCTTCTGCTATTTTCTTCAAGAATTTGGATTATGTACATGTGGATTTCTTGTTTTTATTGTATTCTTCTGCATTTTCCTGCAAATTCCTTCCTTAAATCATCATGTCGCAGGTGCCTCCAACTCTGAGATTTGTGATAGATGGTGAAATGCCGGATTATTTGCTTGCAAAGGATTTGATTTTGCAAGTAAGTTGGACTGCATGCTGAGGCATTTCTTTACTTGGACATATTATATTCCCTGATAATATATTATAATAGAATGACAAAGCCTACAGTTTTTGTCACTGGGTAATGGTTTGTTCTTATTTGAATGGATTGTCAAAGCCTCTAATATTTGTTGGTGCATTGAATGTTTTTCACATTGCAGATTATTGGTGAAATATCTGTGTCCGGTGCAACATATAAATCGATGGAGTTTGTTGGTACTACTGTTGAAAGTTTAACTGTAAGTTTACTTATTCTTCCAATGAAAGTCTTTGAAAAATGCTACTCCACATTTGAGTTGTTTTATGGCACTAGTAATGTCTTAAATCTTTCATTGCTCTGTATTTGAAAGATGGAAGAAAGAATGACACTATGCAATATGGTTATCGAAGCTGGAGGGAAGAACGGAATTGTCCCAGCTGATAGTACTACAGATAAGTACCTTGAGGTAAGTGCCAACCAATCTGTGTATGAATGCATGCATCTGTCCTTGTGAATGTGAGTGTGAGTGTGAGTGTGCACGCACACACAAACAAGCGTGCTTGTGCTTAATATGCAGCTGTATTTTCTGCTTAGGGCTCTTCCTGGCATTCTTACATGCTTGTTTTCATTATAACGGAAGAAGATTTTTCCATTCGGCTTGTAATGAAACTAATAAATATTTTGTTTTTTGTTTGGGCTTGTACAGGGCAAAACATATGTGCCTTATGCACCAGTTTATAGTGACACACAAGCAAGGTACATATGGGTTGAAATCTATACCAGATCAGACCATTTTTGTGGTGCTAGAAAATGCTGCTTTGTGCTTTTTACCAGTTTTTCCAAATGGGTTGTGTAGCTATATTTTGATGTGGTTAAAAATAAATACCTTACCTTGGACATCTTCAACATCCCTGGGATTTAATGGATTGATTTTCTTTCCATTGCTTTTGATTGAAATATTCGTCTTTGGAAATTGAGCCATCTGGATCTCTTATATCAGCATGAATGTTGTAGTTTAAACATTAACCAACAAAAAATTATTTATCGAGATCTTAGAAGTTAATTAACACTATGGGATGTACAATAATAATACAAAAATACTGGAGCAACTTCATCCCTTGATAAGGTCATCAACCTTTTTATGAGAAGTGTTTGGTGAGTAATCTGTGGAGTTTTCTCATCTAATCTTAACATTTTTTTGGGTTAAAACTCCATTTTTTTGGTTAAATCTCTAGATGTTTGGTTCTTCATGTTTGCTTAATCGCGTTGTTACTTTTCATGGCCTTCATATTATGGGAAGTTAGTTTCTTGAAATTCAATGGTTCGGTAAGGGAAACTGTTGTTCAGTGCCCGCACACCCCTTTAGGATATTGGGGTTCAATGCTATTATTTTGACTTCTCAAAGCAGGCAAGACCTGCTCAGGGCCAAGTAAAAGTAAGTCATTTGTAACTGGATGTGCTTGGTTTATGCCCTGTAACATGTTACAGTATTACTATTCCAACTCTAGTTACAATACTTTGGTGGTTCTTCCTAACTATCCTCTCTTTGCCCAAAGGACTTGTTTATTTTCCAATTTCATAGCAATAGTTCCCAGGACTTAGCCTTCCATGTGGACAAATGAAGCAGTGAAAAGGCTTGTTGCTAGTTTGGAATCCAGCAAATTTGCTAGTATGTATTCTCTGCTGATGATGTTATTTCATTCTCTTCTAGATTTCTTTCGGAGTATAGATTTGATATCTCAAAGTTGGAGCCATTGGTAGCAAAGGTGAGTCAAGTAAAAGGAATATTTTGTTTCGAGAGAAAATAACAGAGGACAAGAAGGCAACGTGCTTTATTCCTGTTTTATTGGAAAAGTAGTAACCTGTGACAAGTATTTTGGTCTATGTTTTAAATGCTTGAATGATAGTTAGCTCTATCCTTTGCAGTTAATAATAGGCTTTGTATATGTCATGCAGCCTCATTCTCCTGATAATCGTGCTTTAGCACGAGAATGCAAAGATGTGAAAATTGACAGAGTATATATTGGATCTTNTGTTAATAATAGGCTTTGTATATGTCATGCAGCCTCATTCTCCTGATAATTGTGCTTTAGCACGAGAATGCAAAGATGTGAAAATTGACAGAGTATATATTGGATCTTGTACTGGTGGAAAAACAGAGGATTTCTTTGCTGCAGCCAAAGTTTTTCTTGCTTCAGTAAGACCACTTATCTCTCATACTTATTATGTCCTTGTTGTCGGACTTATGATTGCATTATGCTGACAAGGTTAATATTTGAAAATCACACCTTCTGCTGTATACTTTCATGGGTGGGGTTGCAATGATTTTTCCTCTTCCAGTGTTTATTAAAAAAAGATAATGAAAATGTCTCTTTCTCAGCCAAATATCAGTGATGCGTCTCGCCAAACTAAATGTATAGGTATTGTGTTTTTGTAACTAAAATAGCTGATTTGCATAGTCAATTTTCCAATAAATTATGCTTCAATGTTAATGTTGGTGCATATGAACGAGTTTATTATGCTTTATGTGTGCTATTCATTCTGTACATTGTGAATATGATTTGTATCCAAACAATCTTATATTGATCTTTTTGTGGAAATGATTTTTTTATTCGCATCATGTGCAGGGTAAAAAAGTCAAAGTTCCCACATTCCTTGTGCCTGCTACACAAAAGGTTCGTAATGTTGGTCTTTTGGAGCCGAAGGGTAATGTTTTTGTTGTCAGGATTGCATACATATTGATCAACAAATATAGTATGCTCAATGGTATTAAAATTTTCAGGTGTGGATGGACGTATATAGCCTCCCAGTGCCAGGTTCTGGTGGCAAGACTTGCTCGCAGATATTTGAAGAAGCTGGTTGTGATACACCTGCAAGTCCTACCTGTGGTGCTTGTATGGGTGGCCCTAAAGACACTTATGCACGGTTGAATGAACCTCAGGCAAGTTTTATACTTTTTTTTTCCAATCCAAATACGAATTAACTGAACATGAAAATAATGACAGCATCTATGTTGTGAGTTGGACTGCACATCTTCCCTCTAGTTCACTCCTGAATATCATTATTTCATGTGTAAAAAACTGTTCCAATGTATGAGCTGATTCTTACAAAGTATACAACACTGCTTGTTTTCAGAAAACAGGATTTGGCCATATCATGTTTTGGGTGTGATTTTGTTGTCTGTTGTAGGCTCTCCATAAATGATGCACCTTAGCTATCCGTTGTCTGGACTGGCAGCTAGTTTTTCAATCCCCTACATTATAGAGTTCATGCACCTATTCTTTTTCCTATTGCAGGATTACAATTATATTAATGATGATTTTTTCTGGTGCTTCGATTAGTAAATTTTGGTAGCACCATTGGTTTACAACCTATCCTTCTTTTTTCATTGCAGAAAATATTGGGTGTATTGTGACATCTTTTCATCATAATTATAATTGTCATCTATCTTAGTTTTATGGTTGCTGCTTACAACAGTACACAGCCCGGAATGGGCCATCCTTTTCATCTTCTTCTAATCACAATTTTAATAGCATAGCTTTTGTCATATTAGTCAAAATGACCTCATCTAACAGCTTGAANCTATCAGGATTGCATACATATTGATCAACAAATATAGTATGCTCAATGGTATTAAAATTTTCAGGTGTGGATGGACGTATATGGCCTCCCAGTGCCAGGTTCTGGTGGCAAGACTTGCTCGCAGATATTTGAAGAAGCTGGTTGTGATACACCTGCAAGTCCTACCTGTGGTGCTTGTATGGGTGGCCCTAAAGACACTTATGCACGGTTGAATGAACCTCAGGCAAGTTTTATACTTTTTTTTTCCAATCCAAATACGAATTAACTGAACATGAAAATAATGACAGCATCTATGTTGTGAGTTGGACTGCACATCTTCCCTCTAGTTCACTCCTGAATATCATTATTTCATGTGTAAAAAACTGTTCCAATGTATGAGCTGATTCTTACAAAGTATACAACACTGCTTGTTTTCAGAAAACAGGATTTGGCCATATCATGTTTTGGGTGTGATTTTGTTGTCTGTTGTAGGCTCTCCATAAATGATGCACCTTAGCTATCCGTTGTCTGGACTGGCAGCTAGTTTTTCAATCCCCTACATTATAGAGTTCATGCACCTATTCTTTTTCCTATTGCAGGATTACAATTATATTAATGATGATTTTTTCTGGTGCTTCGATTAGTAAATTTTGGTAGCACCATTGGTTTACAACCTATCCTTCTTTTTTCATTGCAGAAAATATTGGGTGTATTGTGACATCTTTTCATCATAATTATAATTGTCATCTATCTTAGTTTTATGGTTGCTGCTTACAACAGTACACAGCCCGGAATGGGCCATCCTTTTCATCTTCTTCTAATCACAATTTTAATAGCATAGCTTTTGTCATATTAGTCAAAATGACCTCATCTAACAGCTTGAACATATATCACTTTTTGAATCGCATGAGGATAGTAAAACAAGTTAGATCCACCATCTGGTGTTCCTATCTATGAGATCAAGATTCCAGTCTCCAGTTGAAGATAGAAATAACCATTTGGAAGTTATTAACGTGGTAAAGTAGGTTCGCCTCCCATTGAAAGGGGCATGTGGTGTACAGTCATCGTGGCACAAATATTGAATCGATGTGTCTTTAATTTGGCTAGCTGTTGGGCTGAAGGCTAGTCGGAGTTCGATGCAACAAATCTAAGAGGTGGTATAGTTGAAGCTGCCGGCTAGGCTAGCTGTTGAAGTCTCTACATAGTCATATCAACGACCTGTGATTGAATCTCACCTTCATCTAGCTTGAGAGGTTTTTTGGACAGGGGGACAATTCCACATTGTAGCCAACCATTTGACCAAGGAAATGTCAGTTACCTGATAATCCAACCTTGTGTCCAAGTGAAGATTGAACTAGAGGTTAGGTCAGTGGGTTGTCTTGGTATGGCAATTTGGTGTTCCTTTCTCTCCGTGCCCAACCCAGCCTTTTTTCTCATGTATATGCTTTATGGGTAGTCTTCTTAGTGGTGTGCCTTGATTAAACATATCTTAGTTCCAATGGTTGGGCCACAGTAAAAGGCTATTCTCGCCCTCAAACCTTAACCCGTAATGAAGGTGGTCTTTGGTACCACTAATGCAATTTTATCAAAACTCGCAAACTTAAGAGATGCGAAAGAGCCATTAAGACAAGTTCATCTTCTTCCTCAGCGCTAATTGCAAAAAAGAAGTTAGGCAATTCAAAAACAGAAAAAGTATGAAAGAAGCTAGTTTGATCTTGATCCTTGTGGTAGACTCTCAACTTCAGTGGAAAAGGAACATAAGAACCTTCCAATACTGATTGCTGAAGTTCTTTTACCTGGTCTATTAAATGGAGGGGATGTTGAAATTAAGTGACATGAAACTATAAAAATTTCAATTTGAGTAGTATTTTGTATATGAACAACTTGGGGCTTCTTAGAAGAATCTTAAGAAAATGTAATTGAGAAAGTATAATACACTATGCCGGACTTGATGGACTGCTTTTAATTATTTTTCCGTTTATTTTGCAACAACATAAATTGATGTATTAAAGGTTAATGCTTTGTCCCCGAAGGATAAAAGGCTTTGTCTTTCGCCATTGAGCTTAAAGATCCTAANGAAGTTCTTTTACCTGGTCTATTAAATGGAGGGGATGTTGAAATTAAGTGACATGAAACTATAAAAATTTCAATTGAGTAGTATTTTGTATATGAACAACTTGGGGCTTCTTAGAAGAATCTTAAGAAAATGTAATTGAGAAAGTATAATACACTATGCCGGACTTGATGGACTGCTTTTAATTATTTTTCCGTTTATTTTGCAACAACATAAATTGATGTATTAAAGGTTAATGCTTTGTCCCCGAAGGATAAAAGGCTTTGTCTTTCGCNTTTTTGCCTATTGCAGGATTACAATTATATTAAGGGTTAATCTCATTTTGCACCCCGAAAGATTGTTCGAATCTCAATTTACACCCTCAAAGATCAAAAATCTCAATTTACACCCTTAAAGATAGAAATTTGTATCAATGTGCACCCCCAAAGATCAAAAATCTCAATTTGCACCCTCAAAGATAGAAATTTATATCAATGTGTACCCCAAAGATAAAAAATCTCAATTTGCACCCTCAAAGATAGAAATTTGTATCAATGTGCACCTAAAATTAAATTGATAAATTATACCTAAATCCCCTCATATTTGTCAGTTAATCATTTAGACCTCTTCACATTTAGAATATTACTCCTACATCTTATGACATTTGTGCACGTATAACACGTAACTCATTTTCATTGATATATATTAATATAACCGTTAAAAAATATAATTTTATCCTAATAAAAAATTATAATTTCATATTACCCTTTATTTTATAGGTTCAATATACTATAAAGTTCAAAATCTAGTTTACCATTTGAATGTCTAATAAAATATAAATATTTATATAATATTTTTCATATTACCTTTTATATAAATATCTACATTTTATTAGACATTCAAATGGTAAGCTTGATTTTCAACTTTAGAGTATATCGAATCCACAAAATAAAAGGTAATATAAAATTATAATTTTATATTAGGATAAAATCATATTTTTTAACGATTATATTAATATATATCAACGAAAAGTGGTTATGTGTTACACATGCATAAACGTCATGAGATGTAAGGGGAATATTCTAAATGTGAAGGAGTTCAAATGATTAAGTGACAAACATGAGGGGATCAAGATATAATTTATTAATTTAATTTTAGGTGCACATTGATATAAATTTCTATATTTGAAGGTGCAAATTGAGATTTTTTATCTTTGGGGATGCACATTGATACAAATTTCTATCTTTGAGGGTGCAAATTGAGATTTTTGATCTTTGGGGGTGCACATTGATACAAATTTCTATCTTTGAGGGTGTAAATTGAGATTTTTGATCTTTGAGGGTGCAAATTGAAATTCGAACAATCTTTCGGGGTGCAAAATGAGATTAACCCTTATATTAATGATGATTTTTTCTGGTGCTTCGAATAGTAAATTTTGGTAGCACCATAGGTTTACAACCTATCCTTCTTTTTTCATTGCAGAAAATATTGGGTGTATTGTGACATCTTTTCATCATAATTATAATTGTCATCTATCTTAGTTTTATGGTTGCTGCTTACAACAGTACACAGCCCGGAATGGGCCATCCTTTTCATCTTCTTCTAATCACAATTTTAATAGCATAGCTTTTGTCATATTAGTCAAAATGACCTCATCTAACAGCTTGAACATATATCACTTTTTGAATCGCATGAGGATAGTAAAACAAGTTAGATCCACCATCTGGTGTTCCTATCTATGAGATCAAGATTCCAGTCTCCAGTTGAAGATAGAAATAACCATTTGGAAGTTATTAACGTGGTAAAGTAGGTTCGCCTCCCATTGAAAGGGGCATGTGGTGTACAGTCATCGTGGCACAAATATTGAATCGATGTGTCTTTAATTTGGCTAGCTGTTGGGCTGAAGGCTAGTCGGAGTTCGATGCAACAAATCTAAGAGGTGGTATAGTTGAAGCTGCCGGCTAGGCTAGCTGTTGAAGTCTCTTCATAGTCATATCAACGACCTGTGATTGAATCTCACCTTCATCTAGCTTGAGAGGTTTTTTGGACAGGGGGACAATTCCACATTGTAGCCAACCATTTGACCAAGGAAATGTCAGTTACCTGATAATCCAACCTTGTGTCCAAGTGAAGATTGAACTAGAGGTTAGGTCAGTGGGTTGTCTTGGTATGGCAATTTGGTGTTCCTTTCTCTCCGTGCCCAACCCAGCCTTTTTTCTCATGTATATGCTTTATGGGTAGTCTTCTTAGTGGTGTGCCTTGATTAAACATATCTTAGTTCCAATGGTTGGGCCACAGTAAAAGGCTATTCTCGCCCTCAAACCTTAACCCGTAATGAAGGTGGTCTTTGGTACCACTAATGCAATTTTATCAAAACTCGCAAACTTAAGAGATGCGAAAGAGCCATTAAGACAAGTTCATCTTCTTCCTCAGCGCTAATTGCAAAAAAGAAGTTAGGCAATTCAAAAACAGAAAAAGTATGAAAGAAGCTAGTTTGATCTTGATCCTTGTGGTAGACTCTCAACTTCAGTGGAAAAGGAACATAAGAACCTTCCAATACTGATTGCTAAAGTTCTTTTACCTGGTCTATTAAATGGAGGGGATGTTGAAATTAAGTGACATGAAACTATAAAAATTTCAATTTGAGTAGTATTTTGTATATGAACAACTTGGGGCTTCTTAGAAGAATCTTAAGAAAATGTAATTGAGAAAGTATAATACACTATGCCGGACTTGATGGACTGCTTTTAATTATTTTTCCGTTTATTTTGCAACAACATAAATTGATGTATTAAAGGTTAATGCTTTGTCCCCGAAGGATAAAAGGCTTTGTCTTTCGCCATTGAGCTTAAAGATCCTAATCCGAAATCATGTATTGCTATTCTTTGTGGTAGATTGTGTGGTAAAAGTGTAGTTCTGCTGGTACTGAGGAAGCACTGATTTGGTGCGAGATGCGAGTATGATTTGATTTGAATATGGATTCCACATAACTGAAGAAAATCGAATACGGAGAGCTGTATTCATTTATGAAAAAAATATTTTACATTTAAATGTTATCACGCAATTTGATGAATATATTTTTAAGTAAATCCCTTACAATAATTGGAAAAATAAGCACTTTTTTTTACTTTTAAAAAGGTAAATGAATGTGACCAAGTAAGAAATCAAAACAACCATTCAACTAGTTAGTTTTATTAGAAGTCTTTGTTGTCGAGATTAGATTTAATTTATCCATTGTGCATGTAGATAATACTTAAAAAACACCCAACTTCCTTCGAAATCATATGGATTCTTATTTAGGTATACCGATGTAAGTGAATTCGANCGATTTGATTTGAATATGGATTCCGCATAACTGAAGAAAATCGAATACGGAGAGCTGTCTTCATTTATGAAAAAATATTTTCATTTAAATGTTATCACACAATTTGATGAATATATTTTTAAGTAATTCCCTTACAATAATTGGAAAAATAAGCACTTTTTTTTACTTTTAAAAAAGTAAATGAATGTGACCAAGTAAGAAATCAAAACAACCATTCAACTAGTTAGTTTGATTAGAAGTCTTTGTTGTCGAATTAGATTTAATTTATCCATTGTGCATGTAGATAATACTTAAAAAACACCCAACTTCCTTCGAAATCATATGGATTCTTATTTAGGTATACCGATGTAAGTGAATTCGAGAAGAAGGGTAAAAATTACAGATAAATATATCTCCTTCCATAGTCGAAGAATATTCATCTTGATACCTGTAGAAGTATCCGAGATGTATCTTAAAATAAATAAAGAATTTATTAATTGGATACGTGTGGTGTGTATTCGGTATATATCCTTCAATATCCAATGAGTATTGTTTTCGATATAGTATTCAATACGGATACCTCGACCTAACCGAAGTATTCATAGTCGTGCTTCATAGGTACTAGAATAGTTGTCAAGGAAGAACGAAAACCTTGAAGGAATTGTGTGAACTAGAATATAGGTGTTTCACTAGTCCCTTTTTTGTAACTACAATGGCTGTTCATATTCACATTCTAGGATAGTGCCTGATTTTTGTGTTTTGCTGGTTGTTGCAGGTCTGTGTCTCNTCTATAGAAGTATCCGAGATGCATCTTAAAATAAATAAAGAATTTATTAATTGGATACGTGTGGTGTGTATTGGGTATATATCCTTCAATATCCAATGAGTATTGTTTTCGATAGAGTATTCAATACAGATACCTCGACCTAACCGAAGTATTCATAGTCGTGCTTTATAGGTACTAGAATAGTTGTCAAGGAAGAACGAATTGTGTGAACTAGAATATAGGTGTTTCACTAGTCCCTTTTTTGTAACTACAATGGCTGTTCATATTCACATTCTAGGATAGTGCCTGATTTTTGTGTTTTGCTGGTTGTTGCAGGTCTGTGTCTCGACCACAAACAGGAACTTCCCTGGTCGCATGGGCCACAAAGAAGGCCAGATTTATCTGGCCTCTCCATACACAGCTGCAGCATCAGCTTTGACTGGTTTCGTCACTGATCCTAGAGAGTTTTTGCAGTAAGGCCATTGATCTTCATGTGCCGTGACTACTCAGTACCGTTGTGTAAACACCAACTGCTCGGACTCGAATTGTGGCATTGGAGCTAGTATCAGGTTCTGTTAGTCTACACCCCAACTTTCCTTGTATGTTGTGATCTAGAAAGTATCTACTTCATTGGTTTTGTGAGAGATGTAATTTTACAAAGAAACGTAGATAGAACATTAGTAAATGGTTATGCTGTAACAGTGAGATGACGATGCATATGTAAAACTTACCCTTCTTGGTTTATTTACTTACATATGGATGAAGAGAGACTACATCTAGTATTTACTGTGAACAACTTGGAATTTGGAATCAGAATGAAGTTTCTTTCCAACAGTTGGTAGAAATTGTGAGCAAGTTGCATCCTTGTGTACAAGTCGAACAAATTTTTAAAGAAAGGATGCAAGGAAAAGAAGCAGGAATTAGCCCTAAAAGTCTTGTGGATGTGAATCTAAGGACATGTTTGTCTGATGTCAAGTCGGAAGGAATGAGTAATGGGTCGGGGAATCGGGCATTGGTCCTCTTGGATCCGGTAGGAGCAGGAGTAGGTAAGTGAGTCTCAGTAAAGAAAAGAAAATTTAGTTGATAAAGGGGTTAGATCTAGAGGAAGCATTTGGTCGCATATCATCTCATTGATCTCAAAAAACAGATTATCAAATATGTTTAAGGACTAAGCTATAGTTTTTTGTCTGTCTTGTTGCTTTGAGTTGCCCCCAGCACTAACAACAGCAATAACCTGAATCTTTTTCAATGTTCCAATCTTAAGTATGTACAAAAGTTGCTGTACATTAACCTGGAATTGGGACATGTGACTGTTTAGTTGCTGATAGTAGTTCCTTAACAAAATCATATGAACTCTACATTGTGAGGTGGAGGACATGGCGTTAAGCCAAACCCTTTGGTGCCATCCCATGCGGGTTTATCCTGTAAGTGGGACAGGGAAATTGAACGCTTCACGAGAATTAAACGGGTATTTTACGAGGTTTAGATTTTATGAAAATTCGTTATTTATAATTATATCTATTGAGTTATCAAAATTTTAACTTTTCTAAAAACTCAGATGAAGAAATAAATTTTATTATCGTACTAGTATAATATTGATTATGTTTAAAACCGAGTACAAATTAAATTAAGTTAAATTAATTAAATGAATTAAAAAAAAAAATTGATGACCCTTTGACTGAATCCCACTGTCCTTAGTCTATAAATACAGGCAACACAAAAGAAAGTGGAGAGAAAGAAATCGGGCAGGGTCTTAAAAGATAAACAGAGAGAGAGAGAGAGAGAGAGAGAGGGGGGGGGGGGGNTGCTGTACATTAACCTGGAATTGGGACATGTGACTGTTTAGTTGCTGATAGGGAGAGGGAGAGGACTCCATTGTTGGAAGAGGAGAAGCTTAAGGGCCAAAATTTTGAACCTACAACTAATACCTTTGGACAAAGGTAGGAATTACAACTCTTTTGTTTTCTTCCATATCTCTCTACAGTTTTAATTTTTCTTTTGATTTGCAAGTTGTTGATCTAGTATAAGTGGTGAGCATGTCGATGAATAATATACGTGGATGAGTTATATATATATATATACGAATAAAATTTGTTAAATGGGTCTTTAAATTTCATGAAGGAATGAGGTGAAAGTTTATTGAAAAGTAATTTAGGTCTTTGGTGATGAATGGGTGGTTTTAGGTTTGCAAGGAATGAATAAAAGAAACAATTTGTGGCAAAAAAAATGGGAGAAGAAGCTTTACTGATGCAGGGGTTCTGTACGTTGGAGAAGATGATGAAATTTTGGCTTAATTCAAAACGGTCCTCTTAACCTTAAACATGTTACACCTATGTACTTTATGAAATTACACAATGACCACAGATGTTTATAAAAACATTTCCAATTGCCAAATTAATATTTAGAGTAGTGCAGAAATGTTTCTGAAATTGTACTTTAACCCCAATAAGTATGAAATAATTTTGAATATTACACAGTGACCTCTAATTTCATGACGAAGTTCCTAAATATTTATGAATGGACCCAAAAGAGTATACTTGTGTGGAAAGACCATCAAATCACATGTGGCCTTTAAGATGGTATTTCCTTGAGTTTTAAACTACCCCCATGGTGGTAAAAAAAATTATGTGTATATATATATATATNTCAAATCACATGCTGCCTTTAAGATGGTATTTCCTTGAGTTTTAAACTACCCCCATGGTGGTAAAAAAAATTATGTGTATATATATATATATATAATTGATTTGAGTTGCATATACTCATAAACGATAGCATGTCGAAGTCATATTGAAATGCATATTTATGATTATATTATTTGTATTTTGGTGGTTATCATGATGGTAAATACATCATTTGTGATTATTCCGGTTAGTGTGCTCAACCGACTTTGAGACACATGAAATGGTAATTCTTGAAATGAAATTGGGACAAGCAAACAAGGATCACTCCTCCCTTGGGTGAAAGACCCGAAACAAATCTTAATCAAGTGTAGCATTCGTTGAGGTGCGGGGTCNAGGATCGCTCCTCCTTTGGGTGAAAGACCCGAAACAAATCTTAATCAAGTGTAGCATTCGTTGAGGTGCGGGGTCACTCGTGCCCTGATTGAAAGCATCTAAGAACAAGGGGGTGGGGTACACCCGAGGTTAGAGCCCTCAAAGGGACCCGGAGTTCCCAAGGTGTTTGTGCATAACAAACGGCGTATTGATTTAAATGGATAAAGACTAAGAATGAAAATTTAGGGCGATCCATGACATGGTTAAGCTTGATTACATGCTTAATTAAAATTTTCATCACTAGTAGGTTTCGTGTTTAATGTTTATATAATGCCTCATGCTATGTTTTAAGCAGGTTGTTACGGTAAATATTATTTGATGTGAACTTATAGGCATTGACACATATTTTACGGGATAACATTAAAACTTAGTAGTTGTTTTTTCTGCTGAGCGTGGCTCATCCTAATATTTTGCAGGTACTAGACCAAGAGATGACGGGGGTTCTTCCTAAAGCTATATTGAACATTTGTGCTCAATTGGATTACGAAATATTATATTTCTTGTTAACGCTCGAAAAAAATTTTAATTTGTGACTTGTGTTTTGTTACTTTGGTGTGTNGAGCTATATTGAACATTTGTGCTCAATTGGATTACGAAATATTATATTTCATGTTAACGCTCGAAAAAAATTTTAATTTGTGACTTGTGTTTTGTTACTTTGGTGTGTTTTCAAAACCGACGGGATGTAATAGTGTCGATTATGGACTATTTTTGGGATGAATGTATAATTTGGATACTTAGACTTTGATATTAAATGAATGCCCAAATTACCAATCATTTGTACCTAAGTTACTTGAAAATACGTTAGATGTTCTAATTGTCTAGTCTAAACCGAAGTACGTGAACTGTTCAATTCATTTGATGAATTTTGTCTTTTTGTCACATAAAACACATAACTCTTACTAAATCACCCTAGAAAAACTAGGGCGTCACAGATTCCTCTTAATTAGTAGTCAGAGCCAAAAAAAGATATAATGCTTGCCAATTTTCACCCCTTATTCACGAGTGAGATTTAATAACGGTCTCAGTTAACTCAAAGATCCTTATGTTCTTTTATTTTTTTAGTTCTTATTGTTAATCATGGAATGAAACTCCTCATCTCAGGATTCGAATTCTGGTATCTTCTTATTTAATTTGTGGACAAAAATGAAATTGAATGCATAATTCGAAGACATCAGCGTGATTTATACTATAATGAAAGTTAAAAAGAGTTCAAAGATTTAATAACCACCAACGATAGAAGGATTTGAGTTCTTAGTACAACTTTTGTGCTTTCAAAAGCCAAATGAAACATGTATATTCATACCAAAATAATGACAATGATAAAGAAAAGGGAAGAATGGCCTAATCCACAACATGCTCCAACTTCCATCAATGGGCATTCCACTATTTGGGTAGGTTCGGGTAATGGGATCCGGGTTGTTCAAAGGAATGACCGACCCGCACTGCCAATGGATGGGCTATGGAACCGGGTACCAAGGCTTTTTCTTCCTGGAGGCTTACCACAAATACATTGGCATTCATATCCATATATGTTGCCAAAGCATGAGAACAACCCACTTCCACCATCACTGTTCCGCCGTGTATGCTGACTAGTCGACCGGAAGCTACTCGATGACAACCCACGATCATACAGTGGTGGTAGCTCCGTCCGCCACCTCTCGAGCTTGGACCGAAGCCCTTCAACACTCTCATCTAAGCTCCACCCATCAAGCACGGAGCTCCGTTCCTCATCTAACGGGTACTTGTTCCGGGCCATAGCTGCAGCCACCTCTGATGGCGAGGGGCCCACTTCTGATTCGGACCAAATAGAATTCGCCTTTTGTGGGGGCCCAAAAATGAATTTACCATTTGTCAACGATCCTTTTGGGCCTCCCAATTCGTATCCATTGAATTTTGGAATGGGCTTTCCAATTGTCGCAGGCTTTGTTATCTCTATTGGAGGCCCAATTTCTAACTCAGTACCTTTTGTAATGGGCTTTTCATCAGCTATCAACTTATTTGTTGGTGGATCACTCTTTTTGGGCTCAAGTTTTTCATTGGGCTTTTCATTTTTGACCTCGATTTTAGGTGGATCTTTGCTAGTGAGAACAGAATAGCTAATTATCGAACTGGCTTTACCTTTTGGGCCAATATGGCCTTTTAGTTCCGATGGATCTTTGCTACTGACAACAGAATAGCTAAGTATCGAACTGGCTTTACCTTTTGGGCCTTTATGGGCTTTTGGTTCCGAACTTCTAATTACCGAGCTAGCCTTCCCTTTTTTGCTTTTGACCTTTAAGGGGTCACCAGCTTCTGAGCCGTTGATTATGGAACCAGCCTTTGCATGAAAATCCTTCTGTGGAATTGCAACAATGGAGCTGTTGGTCATGGAGACATTGTCAAAGGTTACGCGTTCACTCCGTTCGCTTCGTGTACGACGTAGTATGGGCTTCACAATTAGTGGCTGATCGTTATTTTGATTCTGGTGGTGTGGATCTTCCTCCCCCATCAAATCACGAAAACCGACGGCTGAGGCGCTTAGTTGGGTGTACAAAGGCATGCTTCTCATGGAGCTATCAAGCACTGTCACACCAATGTTCAATATCCCCTGAGGACGGCCCGATGGACGACGAACCTGAAACGTAACACAGAGTAGGCATATGATTCATTGTTCACATTTGATCGGATATGAAATGAATTTAAATCCTAGAATCAACCCAATCATATAAGTTCATAACCTTAGTCTATTTTCATTTTGGGCTGCTCGGGCGTGTACATTTTTGGTCATCGCTGGGTGTCCTTATCCCTATAATCTCATTAAAGTTTTTAAGAATCAAAGTTAATTTCAAAACCATATAAATAAGTCTAAAACATGATTTGAACCAACGATTCTGAATCCTCTATCAATCAATTCATCTAACTTAATAAGATTCATTGGGAGGTGTGTATTGAGGATGATAAAGTATACAAAATTTAAAAAAAACATACTTGAAGAGCAACAAATCGCATCCCAAGATAGTGATGGTGGTGGTGGGACTGAGTGGGAGGTGGGATAAGGTTACCCACGAGGATACGAACCGTCCCCACAAGGGTGTCACGGAACCAATGTACGGCATAGATCTCGATCATGACTGCTGATGTGTCGAGGCGGAGGAACTCCTCATCCACACGGAATACAAACTTATCATTCCATGTTGGGTTGTTGTAGCCTTCGTCATCCACTCGGGTGGAGAGCTTCCGGGTTGGGTGGACCCATGCGGTGGCATAGGTGCGCATTTTCTTTGACACCGGCTCCAAATCTTGAGCTGATATGACATTTATTTCCAAAAGTTGAAATGGCTTCAAAATAGCCATCTTAATTATCGACAATAACGATAGTGATTGGGGTACTGATGGCGGCGATTATGGTGATAAAAATTATCACAATGGAGTGTTAAATTAACCAGATTATAACAATGATGATCAAGAGATAATAATTGAGGGAGGCAATAAAACTTCCCGCCCGTCGTCCGAAGATGGGACGACGAGAGAGAGGCTGGCATCAACGGGAGGAAGATACCTAGCAAAATGGGAGGGTCAGGAGGGCCTCTCCAAAAAACATCAAATTTTGCGAAGACAAAGGGAGATACAGTTAATACATTTTTTTTTTTGACCGTTGTATCTGGTAAAGTTGGGGGGTTGTGATATTATGAGCTCATGTGTCTAATTATGGTAGTGCCATCAAAATTCTCAGGCAGAATTTTAGGTGACAAACTTGTTATTATGCCATTTAACATACCCTTTTGTGAATATAAAAATGTGTGTGTGAGAGAGATACTCAATATGAAAATCAGGTAATCGGATCCAAAACGCAGTTTGAGTGATCGTTGTCTAAGAAGGCCTAAAGTCAGGGTACCACTAAGGTCCTCCAATAACAGCTCTTTTGTAATTCTCCCCCTATTCTATGGATAAGAAATATGATACAAGATGTTTTTAATTTTTTCCTCATTACATTTATGAGGCACAAGAGAAGCCTGTAAAGTAGTTATGTATTAACAGTCAAATGTCGAATAATTTTGTTCACAATCCACATACTATGATTAGGAATGCAATACATAAAATTCCCGACATCTCGTAAAAATAGAATCTAAATATAAAATGCATATTATTTTACTATAAATAATTGCCAAAATGAATTTAATTCTTTTAACTAGTTTGGTGACGATAAATAAGTAAGTCTAGAAATTCATTTCTAAAAATTGAACCTTCTCGAATCTTCACCAGGGGGATCAACCAAATAGATACACCAGACAAAAGTAAACCACCGCATATTCTTTGAAAACTAATGCAATTCTTCACAATTTTCATCAAAATTTCATTCCATCAGCTCAGAAGTTCCCTTCATGAATATAGACTGATCGAGTTCGGAAAAATTCAATAAACTGGACTCAGAATTGCATATAAACCATTCCATTAGAAAGTCTGTAGTTGAACAGAAAAATTAATCAGCCATTACCCCAAAAAGAAAAGAACATTATGGTTGCATCTTCCCTCGAGAACTATAAAAGGTCAATGTGTCTGAACCAAAATGACTTNTAAGCGATGTATGAGAGCTAGATTAAGTTTTAGCCTCTCTCTTTTCTCCCTAATATTGTTAATCGTCTACACTTAACATGGCATCAGAGCATTACGATCATAAATATATTTTGAATAAATTAATTTTTTGTTCATGGTGATGGTACTGTGTTGTAGAGGCATCGTGGTGNACCGTTGTATCTGGTAAAGTTGGGGGGTTGTGATATTATGAGCTCATGTGTCTAATTATGGGGTAGTGCCATCAAAATTCTCAGGCAGAATTTTAGGTGACAAACTTGTTATTATGCCATTTAACATACCCTTTTGTGAATATAAAAATGTGTGTGTGAGAGAGATACTCAATATGAAAATCAGGTAATCGGATCCAAAACGCAGTTTGAGTGATCGTTGTCTAAGAAGGCCTAAAGTCAGGGTACCACTAAGGTCCTCCAATAACAGCTCTTTTGTAATTCTCCCCCTATTCTATGGATAAGAAATATGATACAAGATGTTTTTAATTTTTTCCTCATTACATTTATGAGGCACAAGAGAAGCCTGTAAAGTAGTTATGTATTAACAGTCAAATGTCGAATAATTTTGTTCACAATCCACATACTATGATTAGGAATGCAATACATAAAATTCCCGACATCTCGTAAAAATAGAATCTAAATATAAAATGCATATTATTTTACTATAAATAATTGCCAAAATGAATTTAATTCTTTTAACTAGTTTGGTGACGATAAATAAGTAAGTCTAGAAATTCATTTCTAAAAATTGAACCTTCTCGAATCTTCACCAGGGGGATCAACCAAATAGATACACCAGACAAAAGTAAACCACCGCATATTCTTTGAAAACTAATGCAATTCTTCACAATTTTCATCAAAATTTCATTCCATCAGCTCAGAAGTTCCCTTCATGAATATAGACTGATCGAGTTCGGAAAAATTCAATAAACTGGACTCAGAATTGCATATAAACCATTCCATTAGAAAGTCTGTAGTTGAACAGAAAAATTAATCAGCCATTACCCCAAAAAGAAAAGAACATTATGGTTGCATCTTCCCTCGAGAACTATAAAAGGTCAATGTGTCTGAACCAAAATGACTTCAGCAAAAACTTGTCTTCTATGCTTCAAAAGACTTGAGTTGTTCAATCTGTGATGGATTCTGTCCATTTCTTCACATTTGATGGTTACCTGATAACACTCTGTCCTGACGGGGACCTTGCCGGTAGAAACCATTCCCTCTTGGTCTGTTGTAGTCGCGGTCACCTCCATCTGGACCACTTCCCCTGCCAAAACTCCGAGCACCAAAACGACCCCTTGATGCATCCATTTGGTAGCTACCCCTGCCTCTACCTCCTGCTCAGAGCAATCCAATTACCGAAAATCATGAACAAGAAAATCCTTATATGTTCACTGGAAGCCAGGTGTCTAATGATACAGAAACTATTACACTCAATTATAAGATTCAAAATTATTCCAAACATTCAAAGGCAATTATTTCTGGCGCTGAGGTTGAATGAAAATTTTTCTTGGCATCCAATTGCACAGGTAAATTTTAAGGAAAAACTCTTTTCAATTTTCCTTTTTAGGTAACAAATGAAGCTCAGGCAGTACATGCAAATCTCAGTGCATCAGATAACAAGTCCTATTTAAATGCAAGAACAACCACTTAGGACAGAACTATAACAATGGAGAGAATCATATTATATTTTCCACTTAAGGCAAATATAATATGATTATCGTGACAATGAGACGACAACTTTTTCAATATTCAGAAAATTACTTAATTTCATTATAATAATTTAAAAAGGATTGAATTGCATACTGCCTCCTTGAAATGAATTGTTTCGGTTTGCTCTTCGACCTTCAATGTATAGTTGGTGTCCAGCAATCTGAACAGTAGATGCCTACAAAGCAATCAACGAAACACTTCAAGCCACACATTACACAAAATGCAAGCTAAGAAAAATATATAAAAGGATCGGGGTCAGCTACAAAAGTTGAAGCAAAACGAAAACCACACACAATAAAAGTAAGTCGATTTTGAACTTGAGAGGTTGACGGAGGAGTAAAGTTATGGACCAAAATAATTCAGTATTTAGCTTAACAGTTGGAACTTAAACACAACTCTAAACAAGATCAAACACAAAAACAAAGATCGCAAAAGCTCGTAAGATTCAACACGGCCAAACCTCTGATAGGTGGAACAGGCGCAATGGAAAAAAATTGCAATACCTGTGAGTGTACTATGTAGAGTGTTATAGCTTTATAAATCTAGGACACAGGCTTTTGACTTCTTGTTATTTACATATACAGACCTCTACAGCATTTTGAACCCCAGTGGTATCTTCAAATTCAACAAATGCATACCGTACATCAATATCCTGCATCAATGTTATACATAAGTTCAGAATCCTTTGAGGCAACAATGCAGTGGGGAAGTTGAAAGAGCATACCTTCCGGGTTCTAATGGCCACACCATCAGGCTTGAGTCTACCAAATTTCTTAAATTCCTCCCCAATTTCAGAAGCAGACATGGAAGATGGCACATTTCTCACGTAAACGGACTTTATTTCAACTGAGTATTGAACATGTAGAAACTCAGGAGGCAGCATAACATTACCCAAAGACACACAGATGAAAATGCACATGTGCATGCATGAACATGATATATACATTTGAGAAGGTAACATAAAACTATCCATGTTGTGCTTATGTAGAAAACTATCAAGGTAAAAGTAGGGGGTGCAACTTGGAAGAGCTAACCCAAACCCAACCCGAGTTCAAACCAAATTTTTCAATACATGGGTTGAGGCTCAGGTTGAAGGGTTCAACCCGAACCTGTTAAGAGTATTAGGGTAGTTTGTTAATAGTGTTAGGGTGTTATGTGTAAATACAAGAGGGTGTATGTGTAATTTTTATTATTGTGAGTTAACTATAAATACAAGCGATGTATGAGAGCTAGGTTAAGTTTTAGCCTCTCTCTTTTCTCCCTAATATTGTTAATCGTCTACACTTAACATGGCATCAGAGCATTACGATCATGAATATATTTTGAATAAATTAATTTTTTGTTCATGGTGATGGTACTGTGTTGTAGAGGCATCGTGGTGGTGTGGTGGTGGTGATACTGTCATGGTGATACAGTGGTGTTGTCACTCGTGCAATCGACTGTCGCTCGTTGCGCAGTCGTTCGTTGTGGCCTGTGTTGTGGTTCTGCTGTGTTGTGGTTCTGTTGTGGAATCGTTTGTCATTGTTATGGTGTGTCTCGTTGGGTGGTGAGACGCAGTCGAAGTAGAGGGTCCTCTGGAACCCTAACCAATGAAGAAGATGAAGTTAAGACACGGTTCAGTCTAAACCGGTTTGGTCTCGGTTCAGACTAGTGGTTCACTCTGATTCTGACCGGTTCAGACTGTCTTTACTCCGGTTCAGAGGTCCAGGAAGTAAAATAGGTCCGGTTAAGAAANCCATTTAACATACCCTTTTGTGAATATAAAAATGTGTGTGTGAGAGAGATACTCAATATGAAAATCAGGTAATCGGATCCAAAACGCAGTTTGAGTGATCGTTGTCTAAGAAGGCCTAAAGTCAGGGTACCACTAAGGTCCTCCAATAACAGCTCTNAACCCAGCGAGTCAAACCAATCCGATTTAGTGATCTAGCAAGTCAGACCAGTTCGGTTCAGTGGTCCAGAGGTCTCAGCGTGTCCAGTTCAACAGTCCAGCTAGCTTTCCTTCCCCGGTTCAGTGGTCCAGAGGGTTCAAACTGACCGGTTCAATGGCCCAGCTGCCTTTTCCAGTCCAGTTCAATCTTCCAACAACNGGATCCAAACCGCAGTTTGAGTGATCGTTGTCTAAGAAGGCCTAAAGTCAGGGTACCACTAAGGTCCTCCAATAACAGCACTTTTGTAATTCTCCCCCTATTCTATGGATAAAAAATATGATACAAGATGTTTTTAATTTTTTCCTCATTACATTTATGAGGCACAAGAGNCAAAACGCAGTTTGAGTGATCGTTGTCTAAGAAGGCCTAAAGTCAGGGTACCACTAAGGTCCTCCAATAACAGCTCTTTTGTAATTCTCCCCCTATTCTATGGATAAGAAATATGATACAAGATGTTTTTAATTTTTTCCTCATTACATTTATGAGGCACAAGAGAAGCCTGTAAAGTAGTTATGTATTAACAGTCAAATGTCGAATAATTTTGTTCACAATCCACATACTATGATTAGGAATGCAATACATAAAATTCCCGACATCTCGTAAAAATAGAATCTAAATATAAAATGCATATTATTTTACTATAAATAATTGCCAAAATGAATTTAATTCTTTTAACTAGTTTGGTGACGATAAATAAGTAAGTCTAGAAATTCATTTCTAAAAATTGAACCTTCTCGAATCTTCACCAGGGGGATCAACCAAATAGATACACCAGACAAAAGTAAACCACCGCATATTCTTTGAAAACTAATGCAATTCTTCACAATTTTCATCAAAATTTCATTCCATCAGCTCAGAAGTTCCCTTCATGAATATAGACTGATCGAGTTCGGAAAAATTCAATAAACTGGACTCAGAATTGCATATAAACCATTCCATTAGAAAGTCTGTAGTTGAACAGAAAAATTAATCAGCCATTACCCCAAAAAGAAAAGAACATTATGGTTGCATCTTCCCTCGAGAACTATAAAAGGTCAATGTGTCTGAACCAAAATGACTTCAGCAAAAACTTGTCTTCTATGCTTCAAAAGACTTGAGTTGTTCAATCTGTGATGGATTCTGTCCATTTCTTCACATTTGATGGTTACCTGATAACACTCTGTCCTGACGGGGACCTTGCCGGTAGAAACCATTCCCTCTTGGTCTGTTGTAGTCGCGGTCACCTCCATCTGGACCACTTCCCCTGCCAAAACTCCGAGCACCAAAACGACCCCTTGATGCATCCATTTGGTAGCTACCCCTGCCTCTACCTCCTGCTCAGAGCAATCCAATTACCGAAAATCATGAACAAGAAAATCCTTATATGTTCACTGGAAGCCAGGTGTCTAATGATACAGAAACTATTACACTCAATTATAAGATTCAAAATTATTCCAAACATTCAAAGGCAATTATTTCTGGCGCTGAGGTTGAATGAAAATTTTTCTTGGCATCCAATTGCACAGGTAAATTTTAAGGAAAAACTCTTTTCAATTTTCCTTTTTAGGTAACAAATGAAGCTCAGGCAGTACATGCAAATCTCAGTGCATCAGATAACAAGTCCTATTTAAATGCAAGAACAACCACTTAGGACAGAACTATAACAATGGAGAGAATCATATTATATTTTCCACTTAAGGCAAATATAATATGATTATCGTGACAATGAGACGACAACTTTTTCAATATTCAGAAAATTACTTAATTTCATTATAATAATTTAAAAAGGATTGAATTGCATACTGCCTCCTTGAAATGAATTGTTTCGGTTTGCTCTTCGACCTTCAATGTATAGTTGGTGTCCAGCAATCTGAACAGTAGATGCCTACAAAGCAATCAACGAAACACTTCAAGCCACACATTACACAAAATGCAAGCTAAGAAAAATATATAAAAGGATCGGGGTCAGCTACAAAAGTTGAAGCAAAACGAAAACCACACACAATAAAAGTAAGTCGATTTTGAACTTGAGAGGTTGACGGAGGAGTAAAGTTATGGACCAAAATAATTCAGTATTTAGCTTAACAGTTGGAACTTAAACACAACTCTAAACAAGATCAAACACAAAAACAAAGATCGCAAAAGCTCGTAAGATTCAACACGGCCAAACCTCTGATAGGTGGAACAGGCGCAATGGAAAAAAATTGCAATACCTGTGAGTGTACTATGTAGAGTGTTATAGCTTTATAAATCTAGGACACAGGCTTTTGACTTCTTGTTATTTACATATACAGACCTCTACAGCATTTTGAACCCCAGTTGTATCTTCAAATTCAACAAATGCATACCGTACATCAATATCCTGCATCAATGTTATACATAAGTTCAGAATCCTTTGAGGCAACAATGCAGTGGGGAAGTTGAAAGAGCATACCTTCCGGGTTCTAATGGCCACACCATCAGGCTTGAGTCTACCAAATTTCTTAAATTCCTCCCCAATTTCAGAAGCAGACATGGAAGATGGCACATTTCTCACGTAAACGGACTTTATTTCAACTGAGTATTGAACATGTAGAAACTCAGGAGGCAGCATAACATTACCCAAAGACACACAGATGAAAATGCACATGTGCATGCATGAACATGATATATACATTTGAGAAGGTAAAATAAAACTATCCATGTTGTGCTTATGTAGAAAACTATCAAGGTAAAAGTAGGGGGTGCAACTTGGAAGAGCTAACCCAAACCCAACCCGAGTTCAAACCAAATTTTTCAATACATGGGTTGAGGCTCAGGTTGAAGGGTTCAACCCGAACCTGTTAAGAGTATTAGGGTAGTTTGTGTAGTTTGTTAATAGTGTTAGGGTGTTATGTGTAAATACAAGAGGGTGTATGTGTAATTTTTATTATTGTGAGTTAACTATAAATATAAGCGATGTATGAGAGCTAGATTAAGTTTTAGCCTCTCTCTTTTCTCCCTAATATTGTTAATCGTCTACACTTAACATGGCATCAGAGCATTACGATCATAAATATATTTTGAATAAATTAATTTTTTTTTCATGGTGATGGTACTGTGTTGTAGAGGCATCGTGGTGGTGGTGATAGTGTCATGGTGATACAGTGGTGTTGTCACTCGTGCAATCGACTGTCGCTCGTTGCGCAGTCGTTCGTTGTGACCTGTGTTGTGGTTCTGTTGTGGAATCGTTTGTCATTGTTATGGTGTGTCTCGTTAGGTGGTGAGGCGCAGTCGAAGCAGAGGGTCCTCTGGAACCCTAACCAATGAAGAAGATGAAGTCAAGACGCGGTTCAGTCTAAACCGGTTTGGTCTCGGTTCAGACAAGTGGTTCACTCTGATTCCGACCGGTTTAGACTGTCTTTACTCCGGTTCAGAGGTCCAGGAAGTAAAATAGGTCCGGTTAAGAAACCCAGCGAGTCAAACCAATCCGATTTAGTGATCTAGCAAGTCAGACCAGTTCGGTTCAGTGGTCCAAAGGTCTCAGCGTGTCCAGTTCAACAGTCCAGCTAGCTTTCCTTCCCCGGTTCAGTGGTCCAGAGGGTTCAAACTGACCGGTTCAATGGCCCAGCTGCCTTTTCCAGTCCAGTTCAATCTTCCAACAGCCCTTTTTGTGCTGGTTCAGCAGCACAACACTTCTTGTTTTCTATTTGCTGCATTGTTGTGGAACCCAAGCAAGATACCAGGTCCCTTACTCCATCTTTAACCCTTCCGACTCTTATTAATGGTCTCATGACCTCTGTTAAACTCAATGGGACCAATTATACTTTATGTTCTCGATCTGTTCAAGTCTTTCTTCGAGGCAAAGGATTTAAGAAATATTTGGTGGGTCCTAAACCTAAGAAAGATACACCTGGGTATGATCAGTGGGAACAAGAGGACGCTCAAATTATTTCTTTACTATTGAATAGCATCGAGCCTAATATTAGTTCTACTCTACTCTACCTTGACACTGCCAAGAAGATATGGGATTACTTGGCCACTATATATTCTGGAATAGGTAATTTCGCCCGAGCTTATGAGGTGTGCAAGGAGTACTTCTGACAAGAATAGAGTAATCTGAGTATTGAGGATTATTATTCTCACGTTCGAAGAGTCTGTGAGAAGATGAAGACCTACCATCCATTTACTACTAATGCAGCGGTTTGGCAGAAACAACATGAGGANACCCGAGCTTATGAGGTGTGCAAGGAGTACTTCTGACAATAATAGAATAATCTGAGTATTGAGGATTATTATTTTCACGTTCGAAGAGTCTGTGAGAAGATGAAGACCTACCATCCATTTACTACTAATGCAGCGGTTTGGCAGAAACAACATGAGGACATGAATGTTGTTAGGTTTTTGGTAGGATTGAAACCTGAAAATGAGGTTATTCGTTCTCAGATTTTAGGTGGTTCTAGTCTTCCTTCACTGCTTGAGGTTTTCTCTTGTGTACAGCGTGCTACTTTGTCTACTGCAAGAGGTGATCATGGTGTCTCCACTGATCGCTCAGCTCTTGTGGTTCCTAGTAGCCATAGTGATGGTCATCGAGGTGGTCGTGGTAGTCAAAGAAATCATACTGGAGGTCGTACGGGCGGCCGTGAAGGCCGTAGTGGACCTTGTNTCTCCACTGATCGCTCAGTTCTTGTGGTTCCTAGTAGCCATAATGATGATCATCGAGGTGGTCGTGGTAGTCAAAGAAATCATACAGGAGGTCGTACGGGCGGTCGTGAAGGCCGTAGTGGACCTTGTTCTTATACTCACTGTGACTGTGGAGGGCATACTNAGTCAAAGAAATCATACTGGAGGTCGTACGGGCGGCCGTGAAGGCCGTAGTGGACCTTGTTCTTATACTCACTGTGACTGTGGAGGGCATACTATTGATTTCTGTTGAGATTTACATGAAAAACCTTCGAGTGCTGCGAATCAGGCTTCCTATCAGGATGGCACATCTGTTGTTGCTTTCATACCTCGATCAGCTCCACCAAACACTAGGTCGATTACTCTTACACGAGAGGAGTATGCTCAGTTCTTGTCCTAGCACTAGGCTGTTCCATCACCCTCCACGGCTACTTTTTCCCAGTTAGGTACTATTTCCACTTGTTTATTGTCCTCCACTCACAGTCCCTGGATCATAGATTCTGGTGCTTCTGACCACATGACTGGTGCGTCTGATGCCTTTTCTACTTATCAGTCTGCTACTTCCACACATAGTGTTACTCTTGCTAATGGTACTTGTTTTAAAGTTTCAGGTTTTGGGACTACTCACTTGAGTCTTGATATGTCTCTATCTTCTGTGTTGTTTGTTCCTCAATATCCTTTTAGTTTACTTTCTATTAACAAAATTACCCGTTCTCCCAATTATTTTGTAACATTTTATCCCTCTTATTGTGTCTTTCAGGATCTCGAGACGAAGAGGAAGATTAGTACGGGACATGAAGCTAGTGNTAGGATCTCGAGACGAAGAGAAAGATTAGTACGGGACATGAAACTAGTGGCTTATATTACTTTAATTTTGATTCATCCACTCAAGCTCTACAGATGTCGTTGTCTCCTTTTCAATGGCATTGTCACCTTGGACACCTCTCACTCTAAAATCTGAAGCGCTAAGTTCTCAGTCTTAGTTATGTGTCGTCTTTGTTTTGTGAGGCTTGTCAACTTAACAAGCATCACTATATGTCATTTCAATCTAGAGTCAATAATCATGTGTCTAGTCCATTTGAGTTGGTACATTCTGATATATAGGGTCTAATAAATAATATTTCATCTAATAAATATTTTTATTTTGTGTCATTTATAGATAATTATTCTTGTGTGACTTGGTTGTTTTTGATGAAAACTCGGTCTGAATTATTTTCTATATTTGAGATCTTTCGCAAGGAAATAAAAATTCAGTATGGTTGTCGTATACGTATTTTACGTTCTGATAATGCTCGAGAATAAGAATCTGATCCTTTTTCAGCTTATCTTTGTAAAACTGGCATTATTCATCAGACTTTTTGTGCTTACACCTCTCCACATAATGATGTTGCTGAACACAAGAACCGTCATTTGTTGGAAGTCACTCGTGCTCTATTATTCCAGATGAATATTCTCGATATTTTTGAAGTGATGTTGTTCTTACTGCTTGTTATTTTATTAATCGTATGTCATTCTGGTAAGCCCTTAATTTTCCTAACTCCTAAGATTTTGGATGTGTTTTTTATATTCACAATTTAAGTCCTGAGTTTGATAAACTTGACCCTCGAGCTACTAAATGTGTATTCCTTGGATACTCCCGCACATAGAAGGGATATCATTGCTATAGTCCTTCTCTGCGATGATACTTTAATAGTGCTGATGTTACATTTGAGGAATCTCTTCCATATTTTTCAGCACTTTCTCAACCTTTGGATTTGGACTTTGAGTCGTCTCCTGTACCCCCATCTCTTTCCTCCTCTTCAGATATTTTGCTGCTTACTATGTTACCATCTACTTTACCTCTTCGTGTGTACTCGCGTCGCTCTCGCTCATCGACTGAGGTGCCCGTACCATCTTTCTTGCCATCTTCTGATCCAAGTCCATTAGGTAATTTAGACTCTTTACCTATTACTCTTCGAAAAGGTACTTGTTCGTATGTTACTAATTNCCTCTTTACCTATTAATCTTCGAAAAGGTACTTGTTCGTATGTTACTAATTATCCCATTTCTCATTTTGTTTCAGATGATGCATTGTCTCCTGTCTTCTTTTGTTTTACCTCACAATTATCTACTATATCTATTCCTAAGCACTTACAAGATACATTATCTAATCCGGATTGGAGGAAAGCTATGGAGGAGGAGACAGATGTCTTACATCATAATGGGACTTAGGATCTCGTTCCTTTACCTCCCGGTAAACGAACTGTTGGTTGTCGTTGAGTGTATACTGTTAAATTTCATCTGAATGGTTCTGTGGAGCGTCTCAAAGCCCGGCTTGTTGCAAAGGACTTTACTCAGACCTATGGTGTGGATTATGAGGAGACTTTCTCTCCTGTTGATAAAATTTTCTCTATTCGTATCTTGATTTCTTTGGCTGCTAATCTTGATTGGCCCTTGTTTTAGTTAGATGTCAAGAATGCTTCTTACATGGTGATTTAGTTGAAGAGGTATATATGGAGCAGCCATCTGAATTTACTGCTCAAGAGGAGTATGGTAAGAATGTATATCGGTTAAAGAAATCTTTGTATGGTTTGAAGTAGTCATTGAGGGCATGGTTTGGTAAGTTTTCAGATACAGTTCTAGAGTTTGGTCTTCTTCGATGTCAGACAGACCATTCTGTGTTTCATAGACAGAGGGATGCTAGATATGTTCTATTGGTGGTCTATCTAGATGATATTGTGATTACTGAAAATGATTTTGAGGGGATTACCAAGTTAAAAATCTTCTTGCAAGATCGATTTCATACTAAGGATTTGAAAAAACTCAGATATTTTTTGGGTATTGAGGTGGATTGATCTAAACAGGATATTTGTTTATCCTAAAGAAAATATGTACTTGACATGCTAGAGGAAGCAGGTTTGTTGGGTGGCAGACCAATTGATGTTTCTATAGATCCGAATCAGAAACTGTTGATGGATTATGGTGCACTGTTTGAAAATCCAGGTCGGTAACACAGATTAGTTGGAAAACTCAATTATCTCACTATTACTCGAACAGATATTTCCTATGCAGTCAGTATAGTGAGTCAGTTCATGGGGTGTCCTAGAGTACCACATTGGGAGGTCGTTACTCGTATTCTGCGATATCTCAAACGTGCTCCTAAACTTGGACTGTTATATCGAGCTAATGGACATCTTAGAGTGGAAGGTTTCTCAGATGCTGATTAGGCTGGCTCTCCTTCTGATCGGAGATCAACCACTGGTTATTGTACTTTCTTAGGAGGTAACGTTGTCTCATGGAAAAGTAAGAAACAATCTGTAGTAGCTAGATCCGGCGTTGAGGCTGAATATAGGGCAATGGCACATACGACAAGTGAGTTGACTTGACTACTACACTTTCTCCGAGAAATTGAATTTTCAGTTCAACCTCCTTTACAGTTGTTCTGTGACAACCAGACAGCTATCCATATCGCTGTCAATCCAGTATTTCACGAGAAAACTAAACATATTGAGGTTGATTATCACTTTATTTGGGACAAGATAGTAGCTGGGGAGATTACGACTCTATTTGTGAAATCTGAAGATCAGCTTGTAGATATATTTACTAAAGCATTGAGTCATACACGTCTTACAGCGATTTGTTCCAAGCTTGGATTATATGATATATATAGTCTAACTTGAGGGGGAGTGTTAAGAGTATTAGGGTAGTTTGTGTAGTTTGTTAATAGTGTTAGGGTGTTATGTGTAAATACAAGAGGGTGTATGTATAATTTTTATTATTGTGAGTTAACTATAAATACAAACGATGTATGAGAGCTAGGTTAAGTTTTAGCCTCTCTCTTTCTCCCTAATATTGTTAATCGTCTACACTTAACAGAACCAGACCCAAGTTTTTATGAAATCGGTTTCAACCCAATTTCAATCAGAGCTCAACCCGAAATTCCAAAAATAAAAAATACACACACACACAGAGAATGTTGGGGCATCTGCACCGCACTTCTTTTCCATTGTTATTTTTATTTTCTATTTTTTAATTAGCTTTGATTAATGGGAGTTATAGAATCTAAATTCAATTTTGATGTTGAACACAAAATTAACGAAATCAAAAATTTAGTCACGGGTTAGGCTCGGACCGGAGTTGTGGAGGTTGAGTTGGGCTCGGGTTGAAAATTTCANTTGAACACAAAATTAATGAAATCAAAAATTTAGTCATGGGTTAGGCTCGGACCGGAGTTGTGGAGGTTGAGTTGGGCTCGGGTTGAAAATTTCATATCTTGGGTTGACCCCTCAACTCGCCTAAGTTGTATCCCAGGTAAAAGGTAAAAATAAGAACAAAGAGAAAATAGAGAATGAGGAACACTTGTGCAGTAAGAGTGTGTGTGTGTGTGCAGTCCAAAAGAGATTCCTTAGGAATTTTTTTGTTTGTGAATATATCAGAGAAAATGATATATGGATATATCATACAAAAATGTAAGAGTAACATTAGTATGTTAGAAATAAAGAAGGAAGTCAGAAAATATTTATAATTCACACAATGCCAAATCCTACACTCGTGNATAAGAGTGTGTGTGTGTGTGCAGTCCAAAAGAGATTCCTTAGGAATTTTTTTGTTTGTCAATATATCAGAGAAAATGATATATGGATATATCATACAAAAATGTAAGAGTAACATTAGTATGTTAGAAATAAAGAAGGAAGTCAGAAAATATTTATAATTCACACAATGCCAAATCCTACACTCGTGAGCAAGTTCTTCTATTAAAGGAAGTAAAAGAGAANTTAGTATGTTAGAAATAAAGAAGGAAGTCAGAAAATATTTATAATTCACACAATGCCAAATCCTACACTCGTGAGCAAGTTCTTCTATTAAAGGAAGTAAAAGAGAAAATTATCTTATACTAAGAGTCGCCCCAAAATATGGATTATTCAAAAGTGGCTTATATAAGTGATAATAAAACATGAGAAACACTGGGGAAAGTGTCACCTTCATCTTCCACAGCTGATACCTCCTCCGCAGCCTCAGCCTCAGACCTTTCAAGAGCAATTGGCCAAGCAACCTGCTGATGAATAGAGAGTTCTGGAACATGATGCCACTCAGAAGCAGGTGTTGTCTTGTTAAAAGAGGGCTGACGGGGTACTGAAGGTGCAGATTGTCCTTTAGCAACCTATAAATTTCCATGACAATCAAACACAAAAAGTCAGTCGCCAGATGATGTATGGTGACTCACTACATATATTTTGGGGGATTTGTAGATCATACAATAGAAGCATAAGTGTGCTTCTGGGGCTCCCCAACAGGTTCCTCAACAGGTGAGAGATGGTCTTTCACAGGGTTCATTATACTCTGAAGAGAACCATTTGCTTGTACTGCAAAATTGTCTTCAAGAATGTTTTCAGCTTCAGGGACTTGCTGCAGATGTTCATCTGGGAAACTGGAGCTCTCAACTGGACCATTTTCGTGGATATTAGCTGAAGCTACAAATCCGGCCGCTTGGAGATCTTCACCGAACATGTGATTGGAAACTGCAGAGGACATTACTTTATTTACCAAACTAAGATTTTAAAAATAATCAGTGTTGCACTAATTGCCACATTTTCTATATAGAAATGATTTAATATGAATTCAGAGGAAGTTTTAGCTTTTTAGGTAAATGCTTTTAATATCACACTTTAATGCTGCATAATAGCAGCCATCACTTATAGTGAAATGGTGAAATGATCGAGCTAATAACCACAAAGTTGCAACAGGAACCTGAGGCAGCGGCATTGTGTGCATAAGCCAAAGGTTAAGCACGTATGCAGTCCTCCCCTCCCAACACTCTTGGCAGGGGACAAACTGTTTATGACTCAGTAGTCAACATATTATGTGATATTTTTACCATTGAACAACATATTGCCTTTTGTTTGATTGGTCAAATATCTAGCATTGAAAAGGATGAGTATAATTTTGCATACATTAGATGAATATACATGCAAAATTTAACTAGGTTGTTTTCTTTCTCTTTAAGATGAATCACACAATCAGTACTACAAGCTCAATGACACAAATCCTCTTCAAAAAAATGCAGCTACTTTTTGGAATATTCTAGAACTTGAGGTCCAATCATGATACCTTGTTCCTGAATAGCAGTTGAAGTATTTACTTTGGAATCAAGATTGCTTTGGGCAAAATAGGCTACTGGATGCTGGTTAATTGGATCATCTTCAATGAAGTGAAAAATATCATTAAGAACAAAGTAGCCTTTCTCCTGGGGTGCAAGGAAAAAAGTTTGTACGAATTTCTGCCGGCCATTAAAATGCTTTATATGAACAGAACCCGAAACCATCACTAGAACGCCTCCATTCCAAGACTCTAGGGAATGTGCTGTCTTGATTTCAATCCCGGTATAGTTGAGTGACATGACAAGGGTATGAATTTGCTGCCAAGACGAAAAGGAAAGCAAAACCTATATTACTTATATGTACATAGACCATAAAACAAAAACAAAAAAAATTGTGTTTTTTTTTTTTTTTTTTTTTGGGGGGGGGGANAATTACCCGTTCTCCCAATTATTTTGTAACATTTTATCCCTCTTATTGTGTCTTTCAGGATCTCGAGACGAAGAGGAAGATTAGTACGGGACATGAAGCTAGTGGCTTATATTACTTTGATTTTGATTCATCCACTCAAGCTCTACAGATGTCGTTGTCTCCTTTTCAATGACATTGTCGCCTTGGACACCTTTCACTCTAGAATCTGAAGCGCTAAGTTCTCAGTCTTAGTTATGTGTCGTCTTTGTTTTGTGAGGCTTGTCAACTTAACCAACATCACTATATGTCATTTCAATCTAGAGTCAATAATCATGTGTCTAGTCCATTTGAGTTGGTACATTCTGATATATAGGGTTTAATAAATAATATTTCATCTAATAAATATTTTTATTTTGTGTCATTTATAGATAATTATTCTTGTGTGACTTGGTTGTTTTTGATGAAAACTTAGTCTAAATTATTTTCTATATTTGAGATCTTTCGCAAGGAAATAAAAATTCAGTATGGTTGTCGTATACGTATTTTACGTTCTGATAATGCTCGAGAATAAGAATCTGATCCTTTTTCAGCTTATCTTTGTAAAACTGGCATTATTCATCAGATTTTTTTTGCTTACACCTCTCCACATAATGATGTTGCTGAACACAAGAACCGTCATTTGTTGGAAGTCACTCGTGCTCTATTATTCCAGATGAATATTCTCGATATTTTTGAAGTGATGTTGTTCTTACTGCTTGTTATTTTATTAATCGTATGTCATTCTGGTAAGCCCTTATTTTTCCTAACTCCTAAGATTTTGGATGTGTTTGTTATGTTCACAATTTAAGTCCTGGGTTTGATAAACTTGACCCTCGAGCTACTAAATGTGTATTCCTTGGATACTCCCGCACACAGAAGGGATATCATTGCTATAGTCCTTCTCTGCGATGATACTTTAATAGTGCTAATGTTACATTTGAGGAATCTCTTCCATATTTTCCAGCACTTTCTCAACCTTTGGATTTGGACTTTGAGTCGTCTCCTGTACCCCCATCTCTTTCCTCCTCTTCAGATATTTTGCTGCTTACTATGTTACCATCTACTTTACCTCTTCGTGTGTACTCGCGTCGCTCTCGCTCATCGACTGAGGTGCCCGTACCATCTTTCTTGCCATCTTCTGATCCAAGTCCATTAGGTAATTTAGACTCTTTACCTATTACTCTTCGAAAAGGTACTTGTTCGTATGTTACTAATTATCCATTTCTCATTTTGTTTCAGATGATGCATTGTCTCATGTCTTCTTTTGTTTTACCTCACAATTATCTACTATATCTATTCCTAAACACTTACAAGATACATTATCTAATCCGGATTGGAGGAAAGCTATGGAGGAGGAGACGGATGTCTTACATCATAATGGGACTTAGGATCTCGTTCCTTTACCTCCCGGTAAACGAACTGTTGGTTGTTGTTGAGTGTATACTGTTAAATTTCATCTGAATGGTTCTGTGGAGCGTCTCAAAGCCCGGCTTGTTGCAAAGGACTTTACTCAGACCTATGGTGTGGATTATGAGGAGACTTTCTCTCCTGTTGATAAAATTTTCTCTATTCGTATCTTGATTTCTTTGGCTGCTAATCTTGATTGGCCCTTGTTTTAGTTAGATGTCAAGAATGNCTAAAATTTTCTCTGTTCGTATCTTGATTTCTTTGGCTGCTAATCTTGATTGGCCCTTGTTTTAGTTAGATGTCAAGAATGCTTCTTACATGGTGATTTAGTTGAAGAGGTATATATGGAGCAGCCATCTGAATTTACTGCTCAAGAGGAGTATGGTAAGAATGTACATCGGTTAAAGAAGTCTTTGTATGGTTTGAAGTAGTCACCGAGGGCATGGTTTGGTAAGTTTTCAGATACAGTTCTAGAGTTTGGTCTTCTTCGATGTCAGACAGATCATTCTGTGTTTCATAGACAGAGGGATGCTAGATATGTTCTATTGGTGGTCTATCTAGATGATATTGTGATTACTGAAAATGATTTTGAGGGGATTACCAAGTTAAAAATCTTCTTGCAAGATCGATTTCATACTAAGGATTTGAAAAAACTCAGATATTTTTTGGGTATTGAGGTGGATTGATCTAAACAGGATATTTGTTTATCCTAAAGAAAATATGTACTTGACATGCTAGAGGAAGCAGGTTTGTTGGGTGGCAGACCAATTGATGTTTCTATAGATCCGAATCAGAAACTGTTGATGGATTATGGTGCACTGTTTGAAAATCCAGGTCGGTAACACAGATTAGTTGGAAAACTCAATTATCTCACTATTACTCGAACAGATATTTCCTATGCAGTCAGTATAGTGAGTCAGTTCATGGGGTGTNCAACGCAGATTAGTTGGAAAGCTCAATTATCTCACTATTACTCGAACAGATATTTCCTATGTAGTCAGTATAGTGAGTCAGTTCATGGGGTGTCCTAGAGTACCGCATTGGGAGGTCGTTACTCATATTCTGCGATATCTCAAACGTGCTCCTAAACTTGGACTATTATATCGAGCTAATGGACATCTTAGAGTGGAAGGTTTCTCAGATGCTGATTAGGCTGGCTCTCCTTCTGATCGGAGATCAACCACTGGTTATTGTACTTTCTTAGGAGGTAACGTTGTCTCATGGAAAAGTAAGAAACAATCTGTAGTAGCTAGATCCGGCGTTGAGGCTGAATATAGGGCAATGGCACATACGACAAGTGAGTTGACTTGACTACTACACTTTCTCCGAGAAATTGAANAGTGTTGAGGCTGAATATAGGGCAATGGCGCATACGACAAGTGAGTTGACTTGACTACTACACTTTCTCCAGGAAATTGAATTTCCAGTTCAACCTCCTTTACAGTTGTTCTGTGACAACCAGACAGCTATCCATATCGCTGTCAATCCAGTATTTCACGAGAAAACTAAACATATTGAGGTTGATTGTCACTTTATTTGGGACAAGATAGTAGCTGGGTAGATTACGACTCTATTTGTGAAATCTGAAGATCAGCTTGTAGATATATTTACTAAAGCATTGAGTCATACACGTCTTACAGCGATTTGTTCCAAGCTTGGATTATATGATATATATAGTCTAACTTGAGGGGGAGTGTTAAGAGTATTAGGGTAGTTTGTGTAGTTTGTTAATAGTGTTAGGGTGTTATGTGTAAATACAAGAGGGTGTATGTATAATTTTTATTATTGTGAGTTAACTATAAATACAAACGATGTATGAGAGCTAGGTTAAGTTTTAGCCTCTCTCTTTCTCCCTAATATTGTTAATCGTCTACACTTAACAGAACCAGACCCAAGTTTTTATGAAATCGGTTTCAACCCAATTTCAATCAGAGCTCAACCCGAAATTCCAAAAATAAAAAATACACACACACACAGAGAATGTTGGGGCATCTGCACCGCACTTCTTTTCCATTGTTATTTTTATTTTCTATTTTTTAATTAGCTTTGATTAATGGGAGTTATAGAATCTAAATTCAATTTTGATGCTGAACACAAAATTAATGAAATCAAAAATTTAGTCACGGGTTAGGCTCGGACCGGAGTTGTGGAGGTTGAGTTGGGCTCGGGTTGAAAATTTCATATCTTGGGTTGACCCCTCAACTCGCCTAAGTTGTATCCCAGGTAAAAGGTAAAAATAAGAACAAAGAGAAAATAGAGAATGAGGAACACTTGTGCAATAAGAGTGTGTGTGTGTGTGCAGTCCAAAAGAGATTCCTTAGGAATTTTTTTGTTTGTCAATATATCAGAGAAAATGATATATGGATATATCATACAAAAATGTAAGAGTAACATTAGTATGTTAGAAATAAAGAAGGAAGTCAGAAAATATTTATAATTCACACAATGCCAAATCCTACACTCGTGAGCAAGTTCTTCTATTAAAGGAAGTAAAAGAGAAAATTATCTTATACTAAGAGTCGCCCCAAAATATGGATTATTCAAAAGTGGCTTATATAAGTGATAATAAAACATGAGAAACACTGGGGAAAGTGTCACCTTCATCTTCCACAGCTGATACCTCCTCCGCAGCCTCAGCCTCAGACCTTTCAAGAGCAATTGGCCAAGCAACCTGCTGATGAATAGAGAGTTCTGGAACATGATGCCACTGAGAAGCAGGTGTTGTCTTGTTAAAAGAGGGCTGACGGGGTACTGAAGGTGCAGATTGTCCTTTAGCAACCTATAAATTTCCATGACAATCAAACACAAAAAGTCAGTCGCCAGATGATGTATGGTGACTCACTACATACATTTTGGGGGATTTGTAGATCATACAATAGAAGCATAAGTGTGCTTCTGGGGCTCCCCAACAGGTTCCTCAACAGGTGAGAGATGGTCTTTCACAGGGTTCATTATACTCTGAAGAGAACCATTTGCTTGTACTGCAAAATTGTCTTCAAGAATGTTTTCAGCTTCAGGGACTTGCTGCAGATGTTCATCTGGGAAACTGGAGCTCTCAACTGGACCATTTTCGTGGATATTAGCTGAAGCTACAAATCCGGCCGCTTGGAGATCTTCACCGAACATGTGATTGGAAACTGCAGAGGACATTACTTTATTTACCAAACTAAGATTTTAAAAATAATCAGTGTTGCACTAATTGCCACATTTTCTATATAGAAATGATTTAATATGAATTCAGAGGAAGTTTTAGCTTTTTAGGTAAATGCTTTTAATATCACACTTTAATGCTGCATAATAGCAGCCATCACTTATAGTGAAATGGTGAAATGATCGAGCTAATAACCACAAAGTTGCAACAGGAACCTGAGGCAGCGGCATTGTGTGCATAAGCCAAAGGTTAAGCACGTATGCAGTCCTCCCCTCCCAACACTCTTGGCAGGGGACAAACTGTTTATGACTCAGTAGTCAACATATTATGTGATATTTTTACCATTGAACAACATATTGCCTTTTATTTGATTGGTCAAATATCTAGCATTGAAAAGGATGAGTATAATTTTGCATACATTAGATGAATATACATGCAAAATTTAACTAGGTTGTTTTCTTTCTCTTTAAGATGAATCACACAATCAGTACTACAAGCTCAATGACACAAATCCTCTTCAAAAAAATGCAGCTACTTTTTGGAATATTCTAGAACTTGAGGTCCAATCATGATACCTTGTTCCTGAATAGCAGTTGAAGTATTTACTTTGGAATCAAGATTGCTTTGGGCAAAATAGGCTACTGGATGCTGGTTAATTGGATCATCTTCAATGAAGTGAAAAATATCATTAAGAACAAAGTAGCCTTTCTCCTGGGGTGCAAGGAAAAAAGTTTGTACGAATTTCTGCCGGCCATTAAAATGCTTTATATGAACAGAACCCGAAACCATCACTAGAACGCCTCCATTCCAAGACTCTAGGGAATGTGCTGTCTTGATTTCAATCCCGGTATAGTTGAGTGACATGACAAGGGTATGAATTTGCTGCCAAGACGAAAAGGAAAGCAAAACCTATATTACTTATATGTACATAGACCATAAAACAAAAACAAAAAAAATTGTGTTTTTTTTTTTTTTTTTTTTTGGGGGGGGGGAGCTTGGGGTGGAGGGATAATAAAATGCAGAATGGGCACCCGAAAGAAAATGCACCCTAGAGTTATAGCTTAACAGTTTAAAATAGCACATAAAAGAAACAAATTGTGAAGCATACTACTCTAGTCGACAGCTATTATGGGAAGGATAATTGTAAGAAGGCATGTACTATGTTTGCTAAAAGTATGGGGCATTACATCCAAATACGTCTCAACTCTCAAGTGGGCAATTATAACATTCCGTGTGTTATTAAAACCTATCACCAAAAACATATTTCCATGTTTTCAATTCCGAGAAATTGACAATAATGAAAGTGACATGTGAGGTACGCGGATAACAGCAAAGCTAGCCACATGGAAGGTTGATTGACACAAATAAAATAAAAGGGAAAAACAAAGAAAAGGTGTTTATCCATATAGCAAATTCAAATTTAACCAGTTGTAATTAAGTTTAACCTTTCATAGCAAACGGATTTAACCTTCTTGCTTGACTTGTATTCAATTGTTGAGGACCTTCGCATCTATCCTTATAGCATTTGCAAATTTAACCAGTTGTAATCAAGTTGAAAAAGAACAGAGCCATTTGACAAGCTACTTAGAACAGCGCTTGCATTGAACTTGTAGCATGAGCCTAAGGCTAAGACATTCCACCACAAAATCTCCCTTTTACTGCATTAGTTTTGGACAGTTTTAACCCCGCCGCTGTCTACAATCTCGGCTCCCTAACATTCAGAAAGAGAAAAAAATTACCAAACATTATTTGACTTCTTGCAGTTTGAATAATTTTTGGACTAATCCATATTCAGAGTCATTTTAAAGCATAATCCTTATTCACCCATACTCACTTCAAATTACTGTGAGTGCTTGGTGAAAAATCATGTTCTTAATGCCATAGACACCCAAAGATGAATATCATCCGTGTATTTATACTTAGGTTGTTTTTATCCATCAACTTCCTATTACCTATGATAACTAATTATTTTTAGTCTTTGACGAAACCAAACATAGTCTTTTTTTTCTATGGTAAAAAAGTGAATCTACACCATGAGTCTGGGAATTGGAGTAGGCCTAGCAGCCAAGCAATCCACCCTTCAACAAATTGGAAAGAAATAAGTTTTAATGATCATTTTCCAAATGATCCATTCCACTGCATTCTTGTCATTTCCTTTCTCCCTCCATAAATTTTACACCAGCTCATGCACACATTCAAGGTCATGAAAGTATCAGTCATCGATTTGGAGGGCACTAATACACAAATATCGTGGCGTTGCCGAGCAATATTGGGAAATTCATATGAAATTATTGATAGAAGTTAGACATGACAAGAGAAATTCAATCTATATTGTGATGTCGCCAAATGGTATCAGACAATATGTTGTGCAAGTCAATAACAATGACTCAAAATCTCTGAGTTAACCATGAGTCTCGCCTGACTTGCAGTTCAAACGGAACATGTAGTGTTATTGGAAGGCGAGTAGTAGTAGTATCAAACTCAGCTGATTCTTTCAAGCTGATGATGCATGACAAGGGTAGGATGATCTGAAAAATAACTCATGAAATCAAAATCCCAATTAGTTAGAAACTGGTCTTATCATTTAATCCTAGTAGAACATTTAAATTTAATTTTGAGAAACCATACTCTTGTTCAAATTATAAGATGATATCAAAAGAGTTCAAAATAGAAAATGTCATCCCTAATATCATCGCCATTTCATAGTGCTCCCTTTCATGATTGCATCAAGGCGCACAGTGCAACTTAGATACCCAATATGACAAGGAATTGCTCCAACCGCAACATCTCCCATGCATCCAAGGGGCAGCATCTTAATATCCAGTGCAGTTGTGAATTAACATACTACTGCTCCATTACTGCACTAAACCCAAAGCAACTTTTTTGTCATCTTAAATCATTCATTCATTCTTGTTACTCAACCTCTCTTTCCCATAAGTAATACATACACACCTCTGTAACCTTGCACCTTCCTCTTCAAGAATTATAGGAATAACCACTCAAGCTAGCAACTGGAGGTATTGTACATGAACTAGAAAATATGGAAGTGCTCAACAACAAATGGTTATTAATAAAATTGACCAGTCTTACTCATCTCTAATTCCTTTAAATCCACATTAATATGTAGATTAAAACTCCAAGAACCCAGGAAAATTTACTCCAAAAAACCAGAAAAATTTTGTATAGCAAAAAAAACATAGTTCATTTCAACTGTAGACTTCTCTGATCAATTGTTAGAAATACGAATTGAGCTTCTTACCTCACTCCTCATCCTTGACCACTCATTTCACATTGTACTCTAATTTTTTTTTCTATTTCATCTCATTAAAACTAATTGCATGCCGAAGCAAATCTCAAATTCAATTGCCAAGCACAATCCACCAATACAATGCCAGTAACTTTATTTCCAAAAAAAATTCTGTAATAACTATAAATGTGTGTGTATTCACGCATATATTTACAAAATCAATAGCAATTACCAGCATTGCCGAGGCAGTCTCTCTAGTGTTTCCATCAATCCGAAGCATCGTGCTTGCATCGTTATAAAACTGGTGAACAAAATCAGGCTGAGTCTGAAGCATATTGTAATACTGCCCCACAAAGTACGTCCCAACCTTCAAATTTTTTTTTTTCAAAATAAGAGCATATTTTAGTGAGAGAAAGTAAACGGATAATACCGAGTATGTGTGTGTATACAGATGTGAATGCATAGGTATAGACAGAGAAGACGAAGAACCTGCGCAGCAGTAACAGGAAGGTGAAACGGCGTCGTCATTGGAAACCTTAAACCCTAAAGAAACTCCAATTCAAAACCTTAGATCCACAATGCTACTCGAGATCTGAAAAGTCCAAACCCTAGAATCACCATTACATTTAAATGTAAAGCTGATAGGAAAAAAAATCTCCGGAGAGAGAAAGACGAGAATCTATACGGAGAAAGTGAAGATTTAGAGAGAAAGAGAAACGTGTTAGACTTATAGAGGCAGTGAGATAAAGTATGGAAACCTAGTGTGTGTGTGTTCTTCTCTTCCCCCTGTGGTTCTGAGCTGCGGCTTGTGTGCTTGTGTTGCGGCTGTGGTTCGCCGTCACCACAGACGCGTATGACGTGGANTGCGGCTTTTGTGTGCTTGTGTTGCGGCTGTGGTTCGCCGTCACCACAGACGCGTATGACGTGGACGCACATCTTGGCCGAGTTTTTATTAAAAAAATAAAAAAGGTAAATAACACCAATGACCGTTTAAATTATAAGATTAATTACATTAGAGGTTCACAAAGTATAAGATTTATTTTATTTTGGTCATAATATTTCTATTGCATTATTTTAGTCTCTGAAATATTTAATATATTTTTATGTGATTTTTCAAGTAAATAGAGTCTAGATTTATAACTATTTTTTATTATAAACTTGTCATATATTACTTAAATATGGATAAAAAAATAATTTGGATAACTTTTGATTAAATGTATATCCAAATTTTGGTCAAAGAGCTATGCAAATTATACAATTTATATTATGAACTATCCAAATTTCTGTTAAGAGATACATATATTACACATTTTTTGTGAAGAGCTCTCTAAATTTTAGTCAATAGCTATTCAAATTATTTTTTATTCAGATTTAGGTATCACATAACAAAGTTTATGATAAAAAACGGTGCAATTTGAATGTTGTTTGATTAAAGAATCACATAGAAAAATATTCAATACTTAGGACTAAAATGATACAATTGAAATATTGAAAACCAAAATAAAACGAAGTCTATACTTTGTGGACCTCTAGTGTAGTTAACCCTAAATTATAATTTCAGGTTTGAAATATTATTTATTGCTTTTTTTTCTTTTTTAGAGAATTTTTTTTTGAGAGTATTGAATTGTTTGCATTGACCGTCTCAGTACTTGAATTATTTTATATTGTCTCAAATGCAAACACCCACGACCTTTTTTTGAATAAAAACTACGTTATAAAAACTACTAACGTATCGAGACAAAAATAAAGAAAAATCACATGAATTGGAGGAGAAAATGAAACAATTTTCAGCCAAATTTGTAACCAAATCTCATAATTGANTCAAATTTTGGTCAAAGAGCTATGCAAATTATACAATTTATATTATGAACTATCCAAATTTTTGTTAAGAGATACATATATTACACATTTTTTGTGAAGAGCTCTCTAAATTTTAGTCAATAACTATCCAAATTATTTTTTATTCAGATTTAGGTATCACATAACAAAGTTTATGATAAAAAAACGATGCAATTTGAATGTTGTTTGATTAAAGAATCACATAGAAAAATATTCAATACTTAGGACTAAAATGATACAATTGAAATATTGAAAACCAAAATAAAACGAAGTCTATACTTTGTGGACCTCTAGTGTAGTTAACCCTAAATTATAATTTCAGGTTTGAAATATTATTTATTGCTTTTTTTTCTTTTTTAGAGAATTTTTTTTTGAGAGTATTGAATTGTTTGCATTGACCGTCTCAGTACTTGAATTATTTTATATTGTCTCCAATGCAAACACCCACGACCTTTTTTTGAATAAAAACTACGTTATAAAAACTACTAACGTATCGAGACAAAAATAAAGAAAAATCACATGAATTGGAGGAGAAAATGAAACAATTTTCAGCCAAATTTGTAACCAAATCTCATAATTGATGGTGTAATATAAAAAACATAACAGTTGAGAAGACAATGTAAAAAATCATAATTGAGGGGATCAAACTTTAATTTTCTTTAGCCTCTATTGTCCATTTTGAGCATTAAAACACACGATTTTTTTTTTCTCACTTTAGAATTATGTATCACTGTTATGATTAAAAATGTTAATATAAAATCGCAAAGACTTGAAAACCATTGATTTTTGCTTTTAAAATCTTAATTTCTGCTTAAAAAATTGAAGTCTGAGGTGCAAATACAGGTGATTTGTAAGTCCTTCAAACTTTATATTCCTATTCACCTCCACATAATATCAGACATTTTTTAAGGGAGAAAAAAAAAGTTTGTGCTTGAGGTTTGAAATGGACAACGAAAGGCACCACTTAAAATTGGTCTAGTGCATAAGATTCTTGATACTATGGGTCTATAGAAAATAGAAAGACAACTTTATTTTCGCAATTAAAGTGGTTGTTTCTGTAATTTGAACCATTGTCACCCAAATTACAATGGACCAAAGTCACAGACACGAAATAAGTGATAAAAATCTTAATACTATACAATGTTAGAAGTGATAAAAAATTTTAGGAAAAATTACAAATAAGTATTGCTTTTTTTAATATCCTTTAAGTCTTATCAATTTTGTTTTATGTCAATGAAATCCTATTTTAATGTTTTATTTCAATGAAGTCCTAATTTTATTATATTTCAATTTTATCCTTAACTTTAGTTACCAAACTCTTTTATTCTTTTTCATTCTTTCTAATTCCATTGTTTCCTTTGCTCAACAACGGTGACGTGTTTTTGGTTTTTTTGTGTGGAGATTATAGATGGTAATTTTTTTTGCCCTTTTGTTCTTTTTTTGCTCGTTGAAAAATTGATAGAACTAAGAAATATATCATTGTTGTGCATCAACTGTTATTTAACTCAATTTTATGTTTTTTTATTAGAATTGATCAGTTGTCATTCATTTTTGATATGAGTTAATTTACTTATTTTTTTCTAAAATTANGTAATTTTTTTTGCCCTTTTGTTCTTTTTTTGCTTGTTGAAAAATTGATAGAACTAAGAAATATATCATTGTTGGGCATCAACTGTTATTTAACTCAATTTTATGTCTTTTTATTAGAATTGATCAGTTGTCATTCATTTTTGATATGAGTTAATTTACTTATTTTTTTCTAAAATTAATTTTGAGTTTTTATTGAATACACATATGAATGTTCAATTTTTGTTTAGATAATAATATTTTACTTTAATTGTGATTATAAAAATATAAAGTACGACACTTTTCATCGCGAAAACTCTTCTCTATTGAGAATATATAGAGTCCAAAACCCTTTGTTGCATCCCATACTAAAAATTANGTCGATCAAGAGCCTTGATACCCATATAGAAATGTTTATGGTGAAAGCAATAACAACAGAGACATCAACTTATTTTGCTTATTTGGGCATACTACGTAATGCTGGGGAACAAATCTCCACTCCGACAATTTTGANTTTTTTTCTAAAATTAATTTTGAGTTTTTATTGAATACACATATGAATGTTCAATTTTTGTTTAGATAATAATATTTTACTTTAATTGTGATTATAAAAATATAAAGTACGACACTTTTCATCGCGAAAACTCTTCTCTATTGAGAATATATAGAGTCCAAAACCCTTTGTTGCATCCCATACTAAAAATTATTAGTAATTAATTTTTTCATAAAACTAGCAAATAGGCAATGTATAATTTAAAATACAAAAAGTTAAAGTATGTATAAATAGAAGAAGACTAATGTTATAGCTCTGATATCTTAGTTGTCAATATTTGTCAATTGAACGATAGAATTAAAACAAAATAATTTTTATGAAATTTAGGACNACTTTAATTGTGATTATAAAAGTATAAAGTACGACACTTTTCATCGTGAAAACTCTCCTCTATTGAGAATATATAGAGTCCAAAACCCTTTGTTGCATCCCATACTAAAAATTATTAGTAATTAATTTTTTCATAAAACTAGCAAATAGGCAATGTATAATTTAAAATACAAAAAGTTAAAGTATGTATAAATAGAAGAAGACTAATGTTATAGCTCTGATATCTTAGTTGTCAATATTTGTCAATTGAACGATAGAATTAAAACAAAATAATTTTTATGAAATTTAGGACTTCATTGATATAAAACAAAAATGATAAGACATAATAAACATTTAGAAAAAAAAAATAATACTTATTAGTAATTTTTTCACAATCTTACTTCTAGTTTGGAAAAACTTATTCCTGGACACAAATTTGGGGTCTATCGATTGGACAAATGAACACTTGTCATCGCTCTATGTCTGTTCTCTATAATTATCTCTAAGATGAATTTCCATCACTTGAATATGACAAATTGCTAAAATTTCTACAAAGAAGTTGGAACAAGTGCGATACAAATTATGGACAAAAAGAAATTAAAGGAATTTCAGAAAGTAATTGCATTTTGTAGAAGCTTAAAAAAGATACAACCCTTCATTCCTTCTATGTTGTANAAGTCTGAGGTGCAAATATAGGTGATTTTTAAGTCCTTCAAACTTTATATTCCTATTCACCTCCACATAATATCAGACATTTTTTAAGGGAGAAAAAAAAAGTTTGTGCTTGAGGTTTGAAATGGACAACGAAAGGCACCACTTAAAATTGGTCTAGTGCATAAGATTCTTGATACTATGGGTCTATAGAAAATAGAAAGACAACTTTATTTTCGCAATTAAAGTGGTTGTTTCTGTAATTTGAACCATTGTCACCCAAATTACAATGGACCAAAGTCACAGACACGAAATAAGTGATAAAAATCTTAATACTATACAATGTTAGAAGTGATAAAAAATTTTAGGAAAAATTACAAATAAGTATTGCTTTTTTTAATATCCTTTAAGTCTTATCAATTTTGTTTTATGTCAATGAAATCCTATTTTAATGTTTTATTTCAATGAAGTCCTAATTTTATTATATTTCAATTTTATCCTTAACTTTAGTTACCAAACTCTTTTATTCTTTTTCATTCTTTCTAATTCCATTGTTTCCTTTGCTCAACAACGGTGACGTGTTTTTGGTTTTTTTGTGTGGAGATTATAGATGGTAATTTTTTTTGCCCTTTTGTTCTTTTTTTGCTCGTTGAAAAATTGATAGAACTAAGAAATATATCATTGTTGTGCATCAACTGTTATTTAACTCAATTTTATGTTTTTTTATTAGAATTGATCAGTTGTCATTCATTTTTGATATGAGTTAATTTACTTATTTTTTTCTAAAATTAATTTTGAGTTTTTATTGAATACACATATGAATGTTCAATTTTTGTTTAGATAATAATATTTACTTTAATTGTGATTATAAAAGTATAAAGTACGACACTTTTCATCGTGAAAACTCTCCTCTATTGAGAATATATAGAGTCCAAAACCCTTTGTTGCATCCCATACTAAAAATTATTAGTAATTAATTTTTTCATAAAACTAGCAAATAGGCAATGTATAATTTAAAAAACAAAAAGTTAAAGTATGTATAAATAGAAGAAGACTAATGTTATAGCTCTGATATCTTAGTTGTCAATATTTGTCAATTGAACGATAGAATTAAAACAAAATAATTTTTATGAAATTTAGGACTTCATTGATATAAAACAAAAATGATAAGACATAATAAACATTTAGAAAAAAAAAATAATACTTATTAGTAATTTTTTCACAATCTTACTTCTAGTTTGGAAAAACTTATTCCTGGACACAAATTTGGGGTCTATCGATTGGACAAATGAACACTTGTCATCGCTCTATGTCTGTTCTCTATAATTATCTCTAAGATGAATTTCCATCACTTGAATATGACAAATTGCTAAAATTTCTACAAAGAAGTTGGAACAAGTGCGATACAAATTATGGACAAAAAGAAATTAAAGGAATTTCAGAAAGTAATTGCATTTTGTAGAAGCTTAAAAAAGATACAACCCTTCATTCCTTCTATGTTGTAGAAATTGATGTCCAAACTATTCTCAAATTTACAGTCATTTTATTGCCGTTTGCCTTGTGCTAGGCTAACCCTCATTGACCGTCCTTCTATTTCCTGAGAAAAACAAAGTATATATGAGACAATCAATTACTCAAGAAGGAGGGAGGGGAGGGGGGAGAAGACAGGGCTGCAAATGACCGAACCAATCTGAGCACCAAACTCTGGCTCGTTTATTTGCAAGGAGTATTCAAGATCGGTTCAGGATCGTGACAACTTGAAACTCCTCGTTCAAGTTCAACTCGTTTACAATTTTTTTAAACAAACTGACCTTGACATTGCAATTGAGCTCAAGTTGAGCTCAACCTTGTTCAAGATCAGGCTCAGAATTTATATATATATACAGACACGTACATACACATTCAAAAGTTTAACGAGATGACCAATCCTTGCCCTGACTCAGCTCATGCTTTAAAATTAAGCTCGACCTCAGTTCGTTTGATAAATGAACAAACTCTGAAAGAGCTTTATTGGAGAGAGAGAGAGAGAGAGAGAGAGAGAGAGATGCATACCACTCCATTAAGAGACTCGAGGGCAGTATCCATCTCTGTTTTTGTTGCATAGCTTACAAATCCATAGCCACGGGACCTTCCTGTCTCTCCATCATAGAGAACTCTAGCTCCCACAACATTTCCATATTCTTGAAACGCTTGTGCCAAACTCTCAGATGTGACTGTCCAGGCTAAATTCCCAACAAAAAGCTTGTACTCAGTTTCTGGATATAAAGGTTCTTTCGGTTTAGGCTTGTCAGAAAAATTCACCCTCAACGTTCTGCCACCATATTCCTGAAATCATTAAGTTCTGTTCAGTCTCGACATCGCGTATAAAATGAAAGAAAAGGAAAAGAAAAATATTTCTTACACTTCCATCAAGATTTTCAATGACTACTTTGCAGTCTTCAATGCTGCTCATTGTCACAAATGCAAATCCTCTACTTCTTCCAGTATCTCTGTCATAAAGAACCTAAGCCATTGAATTGATTAATAAACCACTCTCTTTTAGACAACAATAGATGCATCAAGTCACATATAAACGCGAAATCGAGTTATTCCACCTTGCCAAAATGAAGCTTTAGTGACAATTTCAACAATATGATGAATGATTAATAGACAATATACATCAATTTCAATTACTAGTACACTAACTTTAAGGATTTCAAATCAATCAAGGAGTTAGCACCGAAGAAACAGGGATAAGTGCAGTTGCTGTCGATCAAGAGCCTTGATACCCATATAGAAATGTTTATGGTGAAAGCAATAACAACAGAGACATCAACTTATTTTGCTTATTTGGGCATACTACGTAATGCTGGGGAACAAATCTCCACTCCGACAATTTTGACACTCACCATCTTTCAAGCTCTAAATTTCTATTCAATATGCGATTTTAGATGGCCATATCTCGAAACCATTACAAGTTTACAACGCCCTGCATAGCTATAGAGATTAAAGAAGCTTGATACTCTGGGACAATTCCCACTACCACAATTTTACCTCTATTGGTTTTTTTTTTTTTTTGAAGAACAAGCATTAGTTCTCGTACTAGCTCTTATCTAATTATTATATAGGCTCTGCCAGTGGCGGTCCTTGGACATGTTCAATTCATAAGGTGTCCTGTTCCAACCAACTTACATATATATACACACCAGAAGGTTCTTTGTCCCAAAGGCAGAGCATGTTAACTCCACAGCTAAAACAATTACAACACCCCTGCATACCTGTAGAAACCCTCGAAAGTCTAGGGCAATTGAAAATCATCACCACCACACTCGTTCCTGAATGCCGTGGAAGGTTTTTGATACCCACCACATTGTTCCTCGTACTAGCTCTTATCTAATCTTTTTAATTGCTCTGCCACAGGTGGTACTTGTAAATGTTTAGGCATATGGCGTCCAGCGTACTACTCCAAGCAACTTATACACTTGGACTTCAAAAGGTTTTGCAGCCTAATAGCTATGTATGTTAACTTTGGTAAAACAATCATAAGGTCCGTGCATAAATACAATCATAAGATCCGTGCATAACTATAAAGATGCTCAAAAGTCGAGGACAATTCAGAAATCACCACTGCCATAGTCATATCCATATGTCTTGGTGGTTTTTTTGTAGAATTAGAACATTATTCTTCATATTAACGCTTATCTAATCTTCTTATAGGTTCTTCCACAGATGGTCCTTGGGCATTTGCACTTAAAAGTGTCCTCCACAGTGTGAATGTTATTCCACTGGTGCATTCTATGGCCTCAGACTGTTTCTTATTCATCAATTAGGCATGTGACTCGTTTGCCACAGCTTCTATTCCAGACAACATCGAACAAACTTCCACTGGTTTTACTATTCACAATTTAAACTACAATAGTATATACACAAAGTAAGCAACAACTATATATTTTCCACATAAGGAATGACTTCTTTGCCTTCAGGACCTTGCATCATAGTTCTGAATAATGGTAACAGTCATTGTAACGGTGTAATGGTGGTGAATTATAATGGGTGATGCGTAATAGAAATGGAAATTAGAAGCTTGAATTTTATTTTCCAATTCACACCTCGCCTAACAATAATATATGTACCTCAAATACAGGTCGCACAATCCACTACTGGCTATGTTCCCGTTACGTAACAGCCATTACACATTCAATTTTTAAGTGTAAACACTTGATAAACTTCTGAATAAGTGAAACATTTGTTATCATTGCTCAGTGACCTTGCTAATCGTCTCAACATTGTTCTGATCTTAGTAGATAAACTAAAGTTAAAGATCCCCACCAACTCATTTGTCATGTTTATCTGGACATATCCACCAAATTACTGATCCCCACCAACTCATTGATCATTTGATCTCAACATATTCTCAAAGAAGCATAGCATAATCAGACTAGCAAAAAGGCCAAGCAGTCTGATCTTTCCTTAACACCTTATGTATTAATTCAACTGATCAAGAATCAATCTCTCCAAAATAAGGATAAGCATGTTAAATATAACAATAAAAATGCTGAACCTTGCACAATAGCTAGCATTTCTATATAAGAGTTTGATTTAACCTCATAACTATACCATTTGTGCAACCCTGAATTACGTATTGCGTCAATTTAATCCTTGAAATCCTTGAACTATGCAATCTGATTCAAACTATGCAATCTGATTCAATGCGGTCCTTTCGTCCAAATTGATTGTTAACTTTGACGAAAATCCTCCGGTGCACATCATGTGAGTGATTGGGTCAGGGTTTAGGGTATAGTTCAAGGTCCACGTGATGTGTACATGAGCAGTTTTCGACAAAATTAACAACGAATTTGGAAGGAAAGGCCGCATTAAGTCAAACTGTATAGTTTTTTTTTTTCGAACAGTTTATACATGGGGAGAGGGTGGGTGAGGTTTAAATTCTACATACCTCAACTAGCTCTGGACTAGCATAGTCTTGAATTATTCCGGCAAGTTGTGCACTATCACAAAGATATGGCAAATTTCCAAAATAAAGCTTGGTGTTTACAGTAGCATCCTCAGTAGCCTCTCCTCCAGTTGACACTACTACCTCTCCTTCCTCCTGCTTCTTCTCCGCCTCCACTGGCTCCTCTTCCACCGGAGCCGTGACAGCCGCCTCCTCCTGCGCCACCGCAGCCGATATCCTCGGCAACCGCCACTTCTGTGAAACTGCACCGATTGATATTTGTTCAAACCCAAGCGAGTGAGATAATGATGCAACTTGTAACTTGGGTGGTGTGGTTGCAAGTTTAAAAAGAGGATCAGAAGGCCAGTTTTTCAAGCGGGTGCGGATAAACAGTTGCGTGGATGTAGAGAAAGAAGAGGCTACAGCCGCTGTGGCAGTAGAGGCCATGTCACCGGAAATTGGTGCCGGGTGGTGGAGGTGGTGGGCTAGTCTAGCTAGCTAGTGGGTGTGGTTTTTTCAGTTGGAGNTTCGATCAAGAGCCTTGATACCCATATAGAAATGCTTATGGTGAAAGCAATAACAACAGAGACATCAACTTATTTTTCTTATTTGGGCATACTACGTAATGCTGGGGAACAAATCTCCACTCCGACAATTTTGACACTCACCATCTTTCAAGCTCTAAATTTCTATTCAATATGCGATTTTAGATGGCCATATGTCGAAACCATTACAAGTTTACAACGCCCTGCATAGCTATAGAGATTAAAGAAGCTTGATACTCTGGGACAATTCCCACTACCACAATTTTACCTCTATTGGTTTTTTTTTTTTTTTTGAAGAACAAGCATTAGTTCTCGTACTAGCTCTTATCTAATTATTATATAGGCTCTGCCAGTGGCGGTCCTTGGACATGTTCAATTCATAAGGTGTCCTGTTCCAACCAACTTACATATATATACACACCAGAAGGTTCTTTGTCCCAAAGGCAGAGCATGTTAACTCCACAGCTAAAACAATTACAACACCCCTGCATACCTGTAGAAACCCTCGAAAGTCTAGGGCAATTGAAAATCATCACCACCACACTCGTTCCTGAATGCCGTGGAAGGTTTTTGATACCCACCACATTGTTCCTCGTACTAGCTCTTATCTAATCTTTTTAATTGCTCTGCCACAGGTGGTACTTGTAAATGTTTAGGCATATGGCGTCCAGCGTACTACTCCAAGCAACTTATACACTTGGACTTCAAAAGGTTTTGCAGCCTAATAGCTATGTATGTTAACTTTGGTAAAACAATCATAAGGTCCGTGCATAAATACAATCATAAGATCCGTGCATAACTATAAAGATGCTCAAAAGTCGAGGACAATTCAGAAATCACCACTGCCATAGTCATATACATATGTCTTGGTGGTTTTTTTGTAGAATTAGAACATTATTCTTCATATTAACGCTTATCTAATCTTCTTATAGGTTCTTCCACAGATGGTCCTTGGGCATTTGCACTTAAAAGTGTCCTCCACAGTGTGAATGTTATTCCACTGGTGCATTCTATGGCCTCAGACTGTTTCTTATTCATCAATTAGGCATGTGACTCGTTTGCCACAGCTTCTATTCTAGACAACATCGAACAAACTTCCACTGGTTTTACTATTCACAATTTAAACTACAATAGTATATACACAAAGTAAGCAACAACTATATATTTTCCACATAAGGAATGACTTCTTTGCCTTCAGGACCTTGCATCATAGTTCTGAATAATGGTAACAGTCATCGTAACGGTGTAATGGTGGTGAATTATAATGGGTGATGCGTAATAGAAATGGAAATTAGAAGCTTGAATTTTATTTTCCAATTCACACCTCGCCTAACAATAATATATGTACCTCAAATACAGGTCGCACAATCCACTACTGGCTATGTTCCCGTTACGTAACAGCCATTACACATTCAATTTTTAAGTGTAAACACTTGATAAACTTCTGAATAAGTGAAACATTTGTTATCATTGCTCAGTGACCTTGCTAATCGTCTCAACATTGTTCTGATCTTAGTAGATAAACTAAAGTTAAAGATCCCCACCAACTCATTTGTCATGTTTATCTGGACATATCCACCAAATTACTGATCCCCACCAACTCATTGATCATTTGATCTCAACATATTTTCAAAGAAGCATAGCATAATCAGACTAGCAAAAAGGCCAAGCAGTCTGATCTTCCCTTAACACCTTATGTATTAATTCAACTGATCAAGAATCAATCTCTCCAAAATAAGGATAAGCATGTTAAATATAACAATAAAAATGCTGAACCTTGCACAATAGCTAGCATTTCTATATAAGAGTTTGATTTAACCTCATAACTATACCATTTGTGCAACCCTGAATTACGTATTGCGTCAATTTAATCCTTGAAATCCTTGAACTATGCAATCTGATTCAAACTATGCAATCTGATTCAATGCGGTCCTTTCGTCCAAATTGATTGTTAACTTTGACGAAAATCCTCCGGTGCACATCATGTGAGTGATTGGGTCAGGGTTTAGGGTATAGTTCAAGGTCCACGTGATGTGTACATGAGCAGTTTTCGACAAAATTAACAACGAATTTGGAAGGAAAGGCCGCATTAAGTCAAACTGTATAGTTTTTTTTTTTCGAACAGTTTATACATGGGGAGAGGGTGGGTGAGGTTTAAATTCTACATACCTCAACTAGCTCTGGACTAGCATAGTCTTGAATTATTCCGGCAAGTTGTGCACTATCACAAAGATATGGCAAATTTCCAAAATAAAGCTTGGTGTTTACAGTAGCATCCTCAGTAGCCTCTCCTCCAGTTGACACTACTACCTCTCCTTCCTCCTGCTTCTTCTCCGCCTCCACTGGCTCCTCTTCCACCGGAGCCGTGACAGCCGCCTCCTCCTGCGCCACCGCAGCCGATATCCTCGGCAACCGCCACTTCTGTGAAACTGCACCGATTGATATTTGTTCAAACCCAAGCGAGTGAGATAATGATGCAACTTGTAACATGGGTGGTGTGGTTGCAAGTTTAAAAAGAGGATCAGAAGGCCAGTTTTTCAAGCGGGTGCGGATAAACAGTTGCGTGGATGTAGAGAAAGAAGAGGCTACAGCCGCTGTGGCAGTAGAGGCCATGTCACCGGAAATTGGTGCCGGGTGGTGGAGGTGGTGGGCTAGTCTAGCTAGCTAGTGGGTGTGGTTTTTTCAGTTGGAGAGTGAGGCATGGGGCACTGGGTAGATTTAGCTAATCTGAGCTGATGTGGGTTGATAGTCTCCAATGAGATTGCAAGAGATACATACGACGAGATAAGGTACGGGGCCCCACTCGATAGCTTTCGGACCTGTTTGGCAACTTTTCCATTCTACTTCTTTTAATTTCTTATGTGTTACACTTGCACTTTACTGCGCTAGAGCATCCGATTCACAAAATTATATTCAAAGGGATTAACTATTCGACTAATTATTNCTTGATCCCTCCTTTCCCTGCGTTAGAGCATCCGATTCACAAAATTATATTCAAAGGGATTAACTATTCGACTAATTATTTTACCTAAATGACTCCCTATATTTAGACCAACTCTAAGGGATATAATAGATAAAATAGTTAGGCAAAATATATTTTTTATTACACTATCTATTTTAAAGTGCAACTCCTATTAATTCACTCCAACAACGTTCTCTATTTTAATTAACTATTTCAACTAACTTTAACTAACTATTAATAATTAAAATCTAAAATATTATGTAGCATGTCACGTCATCGTCATATTGATGATATCATATAATGACATGTTACACTACATCATCAAAATTTCAAATTTTAAATTTTTATTGATAATGATCATATTTGTAATAGTCATAACGATCATATTTTTAACGGTCATATTTCATAACTGTCATATTTACGACGGTCATTTTTTAACTATCATATTTTGTCAACGATCATATATTTTGTCAACGATCATAGGATATNACTACATCATCAAAATTTCAAATTTTAAATTTTTATTGATAATGATCATATTTGTAATAGTCATAATGATCATATTTTTAACGGTCATATTTCATAACTGTCATATTTACGACGGTCATTTTTTAACTATCATATTTTGTCAACGATCATATATTTTGTCAACGATCATAGGATATTCTCCCTGTCATTATCATACACCTCAAATTTATTTATTAGCATTGCACTCTTCTTTGATTTTTATGTTATAGCTTGTCATCCTGCAATCAAGATGATTCTTAACGATTCTGACTTCGATGATGAATTGGAGATGGTAACAATTTGTGCTATGAAAATGAATAAACTCAGTAGCGAGAAAAGCTCTAGAGTACGTCAGAGTTCCATTTAAAGTCATTTAATTATTTTTCGCAATCGAATTCATGGGCATGAGAGACTTTACCATGATTAGTTTGCTGAATCACCCATCTATCCCCCAAATTTATTTTGGAGGAGGTTTTGAATGAATCAAACTATTTTCCTTCGTATTCTATAAATTGTGAAAATTTATGATCCATATTTTGTCCAAAAAAAAGATGTTGTTAGAATTATTGGCTTGTCTTTTCCTTCAAAAGATGATAGGCGCTATAAGGATGATTGCTTATGGAGTTGCAACAGATGTTGTTGATGATTATATGAGGATTGACGAAAGCATCAAAATAAAAAGTTTGAAAAGATTTTGTGAGGGTGGTAGTAGTAAATTTTTTTTATAAACATCTTAGGTCACTAAACAACGATGACATTGCTAGATTATTAACAATGGATACCAATTGTGGGTTTCTTAGGATATTGGATAACATTGACTGTATGAATTGAAAATGAAAGAATTGTCCAACATCATAGAAATGTATGTGTTCTGATCATGTCCATAAACTAACAATTATTTTAGAGGCGATGACCTCATATGATCTCTTGATTTGACATGCCTTTTTTGGGTTATTTGGATCCCATAATGATATCAACGTACTAAAATGTTATTTTGATTTTGCTCTTCTATCAGAAGATCGGGTTTCTCTAGTCAATTTCTCAATCAACCGAAGCTATTATACAATGTGATATTATTTTACTGATGACATATATCTAAAGTGGGCAACATTTGTCAAATCAATTCCATCTCCAAGAGGTAATAAACAAAAACATTTTGTAAAATCTTAAAAGTCAACAAGAAAGAATGTTGAGCGAGTATTTGAAGTGCTTCAAGCACAATTTGCTATAGTGTGTGGACTAACATGTTTCTAAACACTTAAAATGCTTAAGGATATTATGAAGATATACGTAATATTACATAACATAATTATCGATGATAAGTGAGACGCTAATGAGTTGGACTTTAAATATAATACAATGGATGAGAATCCCACTACCACAGTAAATTCTGAGCAGAGTTCAAAATTGTTGTAATTTATTAATACTCAACATTGCATTAGAGACAAGAAAACTCATTACAAACTTCAAGCTGATCTAGTCGAACACCAGTAAAATATACATGAAAACTTTGATATTTAGATTAGTTTCAAGCAAGAAAGTCTCGATACAATTTAAATTAGGACAATACTCACATAAGCATCATGATTTTTTAAAAATCAACCTAAATTGATTGTGAGATCATTAATGCGCAGGTCAATCCAGAATAAAATTGAATTTGAGTGCGACTCGTATTGAATCCAAATTGTAGACAAAGTTGTATTATCCTAGAATCTCCTATGAATACTTCATAGGAAATTGAACTTGAATTTTAATCCAAGTTGTATGACACGAGTTCAAATGTATAAGTATGGATAATATTTGGACTGAAAGATTCGAGTTATAACTGGAAATTGGATCGAAATTTACTTCCCAACTCATGTAATGTGCCTAGTTTATACACCCCAAATCTTAAGGTTGTCAATTGTGTCGTGACGTGCTATTTTTGTGTTGTGCCACTTTTATTTCAATAAAAAAATATTTAACTCTACAACTACTCATATAATACTATATAAAAATTTGAAACAAATTATAATTGCAAGTTGCACCCTGAAGATAGTTAAAATCTCAATTTATACTCTCAATGATCAAAAATCTCAATTTGCACACTCAAAGATAGAAATTTGTATCAATGTGCACCTCCAAAGATAAAAATCTCAACTTGCACCTTCAAAGATAGAAATTTATATCAATATGCACCTAAAACTAAATTGATAAATTATACCTAAATTCCTTCATGTTTGTCACTTAATCATTTGTACCATTTCATATTTAAAATATTACTTCTACATCTCATAACGTTTGTACACGTGTAACACGGAACCCTATTTCATTGATATCTGTTAATATAACCATTAAAAATATAATTTTATCCTAATAAAAAATTATAATGTTCAATGGTAAACTTGATTTTGAACTTTAAAATATATCGAACCCACAAAATGAAGAATAACTTTAAAGTATATCGAACCCACAAAATGAAGGATAATATAAAATTATAATTTTTTATTAGGATAAAATCATATTTTTTAACGGTTATATTAACAGATATCAATGAAAAGGGATTACATGTTACACTTGCTAAAACACCATGAGATGTAGGAGTAATATTCTAAATGTGAAGAGGTCTAAATGATTAAGTGACAAGAATGAGAGGATTTATGTATAATTTATTAATTTAGTTTTAGGTGCACATTGATACAAATTTCTATCTTTAATGGTACAAATTGAGATTTTTATCTTTGGGGGTGCACATTGATACAAATTTCTATTTTTAAGGGTGCAAATTGAGATTTTTGATCTTTGGAGGTACAAATTAAAATTTACACTATTTTTCGGGTTACAATTTGCAATTAACCCTTTTCTGTTTACAGTACCCATTAAATACATATTTTTTGTCTACTGTACTTGATAATCGTGTTATTCATGTTTAACCTTAATTTAATCAATTTATTTTATGTGTTTCGGATTTCATATCTTTCGGGTTCGAGTTAGAGTTCGTGGAAAAAATTGACACCCCTATGGAAAATCCTACCTTGGATACTTATTTGACGGTGATGCCCAATTGAATGAAGTTGAAGCTTGTTCATCTATCGAATCTAAAAATCCACTACAAAATCTCATACAAAAATATGAAAAACAATCATCGCAAATAAATAGTGAAAGGAGCATCCGCGGTTATTTATTCACCATTCTTATGCTTGTATTAAATTCCTTTGATAGGTTTTTTTCACAAGCGAAAATGTTACCTTTCCTTGTTCCTATCTTGTACTGAACAAGAAACAAAGAAAGGTAAATGAAGAAAAAATGTGAACGAAATTGACTATTTCATATTTAAACAACTTAGCAATATTATATGCATTATTAAGTGGTTAAAAGATCTAATCCAACTTTGATCCAAAACATACATAAAATAAAACATTTATAGACAAAATTTTCATTAAAAAAATATTTAAAAAACGATATCAAACGATACATTAGTTATTGAAGTTTGCGATAATAATGTAGAAGTAACACACAATATTTACCTCTTAGGTTCTCAATTTATTACCCTTTTTATCTCTATTTTGGTGGTAAAAAGACAAGTAAACAAATTAACACGTAGAATCCTAGAGAAGTAGGGAGCCAACTATTTTAAGATACCAACTTACATATTCTCTTAAAATTGGCAATAAAAAAAGCACAAAAAATTAACGCAATCATAAAAATTTGTGAGCTCATGTGAGGTAGGGCTCACATTAGAATGTGATTGTAATCCTCAATTTGAAAGTTATAAAATGTTTCGCCAATCCCCAAAAGTTACTTGAGTTCTTGGGAAGGTGAAAATATGTAGCCATGACACCAAGGATAGAACCACCCATTTAATTTAGGTAAAATCATGACAATGACAAAAATTAGACAACAAGCTTCCAAGGAAAGGGAATTCCATATACATATAGCAACACCACAATAAAACTCAAATTTCTGATAAAATTAAATTGGCATCCAATCTAAAAGGTGCTCTTGAAAAGGATAATCTAAAGAATAATCCTCTTGCAAAAGATGCGTTAATTTGAACTTTACTTGTACCCTTGCAAGGTCTAAGAGTTTACATTTGTGAAAAAAATGATTATTGTTAAATGAAATACATCTATAATAAAATAGACTCTCTTGTTTGAGCTGTTTA